TTGACTAAAAGATGTATTCAAATAAGTAAATCTTTCATATTTTGCACTAATTTTGTTTTTGAGTTTTGCTATCGCTATTACTGTTGTCGCCGATTTCATACTACAAGATCGCGCCACTCATCCTACACTCATCTCCATTCATACTTGGCTTAAAATACCTACTTTGTATGGTCGCCATTTCATCGAAAAGTATTAAAGTATTCTGTTGACTGTGCAAATTAGGATTTAGTCAATCTTCTGTTGGGCTTGCAGCTGTTATTTTCCCGGTCAAATTTTTGTATGGCATATTAAAACAAAAATTCTTGATTTGAATTATTGCCACGATAATATAATGTCCGGACAACTTTCAGTCTGTCAGAAAACAAAGTGAAACAGGGTATTCACATTATTGCCATTGGTATTATCTTTTTGCTTTTAGTCTAAAACAAGTTTTACTGTGAACACAGGTTACACCATAAAAAAATTGTTTTCATTCATATTTGGGTAAATATGAGCTTTCCAGCTTCTCCAACTCAAATGAATAGTGATAGAGTGAGCGATTATGAACAATAATTTCATAATTCATATACACACATACATACATACATACATACATGGTTTCTCTTTTATAGATATAGATTTTGTATATTCATAATTTAATTTTTTCAGAACCTACAGCGTGTAGGGAAATTCCCTCATTCACAATCTCATACTAGTTATGTTAACGAAAGCTTCTGGTAGTAAATATTTACCGCCTCTCCTGGTGCAGCTGGTGGAAAAGCGATGAGAAATACTTGAATGACATTCACACAAACTGTGTACAAATAAGTTATTTGCTGCATCATCTCAGTTAAATCCAGTGCAAAAGATGTGTTTTTTATAAGCAGATACAAATTGAATGTGATTAAAACCAGACTATCAGCGATAATAAACAAAATGGGGAATGAAAAGAAAGAATTGATATCATCTTTGATTATACTAATCCATCGTACAAGTTCTCTGCAAGTATTGACGGTTTTCTCTTCGTAGTTTCCTTTTCCTACAATTTCTAGCCAAGAAATTTGATTACTGTATGAACTATTCTCCTCCTCCAGCTTTGAAAGAGTATCAAATACAATGGCAAGATATTGGTTGAGTAATAAAACACAGCATACAAACTGAGCTTGACAAAGGTGAGAGATGATCGTAAAACCTCTGACAACAGCTGGAATCAAGCCGTTAGTAACGTACACCAAAAACACTTGAATTCCTTCCACAACGATAATGATGAGTATAATTAATATTTGAAACTTCACATACAAATTCTTTGGTAAAGGGACATTCAGTATCTTATTAATGACTGATTCTATTTGCGATACATTTTTGAGAAAACGCAATAACAGCTTGTATCTAGTGATGAAAATTAAACAGGTTAGCGTTCTTGATATTGTCGGAGAAGCAATGTAGACAAATGCTACAAATTTGAAAAGTTTAGAGTTGTTTTGATTAGTGATTTCCACGTTCAGTTGGTAGACAGAAATCGAGATCATTAAGGCTGTTAGTAATAAGGAGTAAACACTCCAAAATGGTGACAGCTTTTGCGTTTTATTACTAAAAGGACAGATAGCAGCTACTTTGGAAATAAATTGTAGAAAGTAAATTTTCTGGAAAAAGTATTCTTCCATTGTAAAAATATATACCGTACTGCAACAAAAAGTACTCTTTTACAGTCACCATGCAAGTAATAAAACTGCTTCAACAATAACTCAGCAAGTGACAACACTAAAAGCAATCAATTTTAAAATCAAAATGGGCCATCAATTATTCTGGCCACCTAAATTAAATGACAATGTACATATTTAATCCAGACTAAAATCATTATTACTTTATCAACAAAAGGTTTTAATTGTACAATCATTACTCTCCAATAATTCCATTCACTGAAATCAACCAAAACTAATTCAAGCTACTAGTAAGACTAACATATTATTTTGCTACCTTTTGTCAAGCAAATTGCTTGGGTTGGGTATTCACTCATAACAATACAATTGGCATTGTAATAATCCTGTACCGATTTGAAATCAGGTTATAAAGTCTTGCACACTTTACTTTTAAAAACCTTTTCTATTCGGTACAAAGTACCACACCAACTAAAGATAAAATATTTTGTAGGTTGCAATTTCAGTAGTTTTGACCTATTTGTAACATTAAAAATGTTATCATACTAAAAAATGGTTCATCTCCAAAATTACCACCATTGAGCAACATTTCACTTTTGAAATCCATAAAAAATAGAAAATCCTACAAGGCCGATTTGCTGCGAAATGGTATCCATTATAATCGTAGATTTTTCTGGGATTGATTCCAGTAACTTAAGTTATGATAATTTTTCTGACTTAATGTTTTTACAAGGTTTACAATAAAAAAGCCAAGCTAATCTTTTTCACAATGATTGTATTTGGTAAACACAATTTGAATTTCCACATTATTTGCAATATTGCTACAATGTTTTTACAGTATTTTTTAAAAATCATTACAAACAGTATCACAAACTATAAACAACACTGACACACATTGGGGCTGAGTTACTAGTCCTAATTAAGGCAGATCTTATTTTCGTCATAAAACAGTCCCTTATTGCAACCGATGACCTGTAATTTGTCTTACATTCTAGAGTAAATATTTTGTGGTTGTTATTCACGACCACGTTGTTGCTATGACTTGGAGTAAAATATTGTGCAATAAGAAAATAGAATCTGTTATTGTTCCATTTAGCACGGAATATATCTCTCATTTTCTACAATCTGGTATTTAAGAGAATTAATCTCCAGAAATTCATTGCTCATTTGGACATTGTCAAGACGTGTGCAGCCTTTATTATTTACAATAGTTTATTATGTACAGTTTAATTCTAATTAACTAAATTCTGAATGTTGGAGGATGTCCTATAAATGTGGAAGTCCTAAAAGATCAATGAAAGCACCAAAAAAATAATTACACTGCCATCCAAGACCTAGAGTAAATTAGTCGCACCAGTCAAGTCAGTGTTGGATTCAAGAGGTTGAATTACTGAGCTAGAGATACAACCATAGATTAAGCAACAAAAGTAGACTCCTCATCCCATTGTAATTTTGAAGCTTGTTTTTCGTGTCTAGTTCATGTACGTCCACACTGACCGCTGGGGTAGACGAAATTTTGTTTCTATTATTTTAGGGTTATTTTCATGATTTGTGCTTTACTATATTGTTATACATATAGGGGAGCGAGCTGGCGTAGTGGTTAGAGCGCGGGATTTCAGTCCCTTTGGTCCTGGGTTCGATCCCCGCCAAGTCACCAATGGATTTTATCCAAGTGATAATGCCGCAACTCTTAGGTCTAGCCTGAAGTAATGTGAAAAACAATCCCAGGCTTGCGCCTAGCGTCCTAGGGAAAAAATATGGTTATACAACTAGGAGACCAGTTATAATTTATGATTAAATCCTTTTATTTGGTAAAATGAGGTTTTAAATGACTGAAATAACAAGAAAAATTTTTTAAACAAAACACGACCTCTACAGTTGGACGTACAGAACTAACAATAAAATTTGCTTCAACTGTTCCATAAGGTTGACAAATCTACTAAGGGAGTATGTTTTATCTTATCTATGATACAACTAACTGCAGGTAGTACTGAATGAAAGAACCACAAGACATTGCCACCATACTAGGGGATAAAGTACATTCTACTTATTATATTTGAACCAGGGGATTGTATCTAAAGCCATAAGATAATGTGCTGAATCCCCTAGTTAGTAAAACTCTATAAACACAATAAAATTATGCGTCTCGATTTTCTAGCAGAGTTGCTATGTCAGTGCTACCCCCAGTAGCATTTCTAGCTCATTGGGGTGAATGGAAGAATGGATATTAACAGTTTGATGTTACACTTGTGGTGAAAATGTTGAATACAGCAAATTTCTAAAAAGAAGTACAAACTAAATACATGTTAGATAAAAGTTATTAATACAGTTCACACTTTAATTTACTTATTTTAGTATGAATGTAATTTTCCTTTGCAGCACAAAAATTAATATGCTTCATAGCGCTCAAGCGATTACGGTACCTAATTTTAGAGTATTTGTAGTATACATATGTAATTTTTTATATTTCTGAAATAATATTTATTAATGTAATTTACTACATAGCCACATAAAAGTAACAAGCACAGTGACAAGTGATTTTGTCTATTTTTAAGTTACTTGTTTTTTTGTTTAAGCCTTTGTTCTTTCAGAAAATGTTGTAAGAAGTCTTCTGCAAAAACAAGGTAGCTTATATATATAAATATTTTAAGTTCTTATTTAGGAGGATCAATTTTTTTTTCTGTTGAGGTCAAAGAGGAATGTGTTTTAGTTTCCATGATCATTAAGGTAGCAGTCATTATTTACAAAAACATTACCATGGGGGCTCTATAATTCTTGATTGAATAAAATGGTCCTGTCTTATGAAACTGATGGTCTTAGTTAGTAACAAAGCTACATAGGCATCTCACACCATTATTCATTCATATTTGGGTTAAAATTCGCACCTAGGTCACAATTTCAATTGATAATGATTATTATATCACTAGAAACAACTAGATTTTTTCTTGGAAATAACGGTGAGATAGTCCGTTTCCCACACTAAAAGCTGTTTGATTATGATTTCCTGTACAAACATCTACAGACCTCTTAGACCAAACCACAAATATTGTACCTGGTCACCGTTCTACCTGTTGTCTTTTTCAACTACTGAACAACGCTTCAGTTTACATTACACACATCTTTTAGTCAAATGTTTAATTTCAAAGAAAAAATTATGATTAGACTAAATATAAAACAAATAATAACACTAAAACATTTAATGGAAGAAGCCTGACAGTAAATCTTGTACTTGTACAAAGAGTTTTACTTTAATTATTTCTTTTTTAAATACCATTTCAAAATATACATCATTACCTATGATCATTGAATTTCCTATCTAACTACAGTTAGATTTCCATTGTAAAAATATATACCGTACTGCAACAAAAAGTACTCTTTTACAGTCACCATGCAAGTAATAAAACTGCTTCAACAAAACGAGACGAAACACTCGTCTCCAATAGCGTTTTTACTTGATCATAAAATATTATAATATGTGTTGTTTTTATAACGGGTTAAATCGTGTATGTTAACTATTGACAGTACCTTCCATATTCACATATTAGAATTAACGAACTAGTTAGGCTATAGACATTTTTGACACAATACAATACACAAAGTTATTTCAACTGTAAGCCTTTAGAGGAACAAGAGAGTATCTGTGCAACTGAGGTCTTTTCATAAATTTACTTTAAACAAGAAATTTAGGGAAAGTTAGATAAAAACAAGATCCAAAACTTTAATTCACCAAGAAGCAGATACTTAGGACAATAATTTTGCAAGGTTCATTTTAGAACCTTGAGAAAAGTGCAACACTCAATTAAAATCTACCCCTATGTTCCCCAGATGTCAGTAAGTATGAGAACGTCACTTATCATATTATAGGCAATCTAGAAAGCTGGGCTTTTCACAATTAGCTGCTAATGTCAAAGGGAGTTTTTTTAAGGGGGTTCAATTTCAAAACTGATAAATCAAAACGGGATGAAAGCAAAACATTATTTAGAACTTCAATCAAATCGATATACTACACTTTGAAATGGCTGATGTATACTAACCACCCTTACTGTGTAACAGGGGGCCACAGATCAGAAATCCTGAAAACTATTTAGGTTTTAGTTTTAAAAAAAGAGGTTGGCGGCCTCTTTTAACCTTGCATTTGCCTGTCCACATAGACTAAGCGCCCGTGCGTGGATCGTTAACAGCAAAGCAAGGAGTGAGCCGGTACAGTACAAAGGTGAACTGTACTGATAAAATGTTATCGGCAGTGACCAGAATCCGAACCCACGACATCGCTGCCTTGGGCCCGAAGTCCGCGACGCTACCGACTGAGCCACCGACTCACTATGCACAACCTGATATCAGTCTGCAGTCATGGTGAAATCGTCGAGGTCACGTCAAAACTTAACAACATCTACAGTTATGGCAAAATCGAGAACTCGTTCTGCGATCACAGCAAAATTGTGAACACCTTCCACAGCCACGGCAAAATCGAGAACATCGTCTGCAGTAATAGCAACACAATAATCATCTCCCACAATTGCTACAAAATCGTCAATTTTGTCTTCCACGGTTATGGCAAAATTGAGAACGTCTTCCCACAGTTACAATAAAACATAGAACATTTTTTGTGGTCAAGGCGAAACCGTGATCATTGTCTGCGGTCGTGGTGATATCGTGAACATGTTCTGTTGTCAACATCATCTCCCACGATTGCGGCAAAATCGTAAATTTGTTATCTTCAAAAACACTTGGCCTGATAATTATTTGTGGCTGTACCGATTCCTTAGACAAATAGATGGCCCAGAACGAACTGAAAGTATGAAGTTCCCACACAGACCTTTAGTATAAGCTACACTTGTCGACCAAAAATCTTGCTCAGGAAAACCAGGTTTTGCTGCCGGGAAAAAGTGTGCATTTTTTCAAGGAGTCCGGTGGCCACCCTGTGTAAGATCAATTATTCATTATTATTGGTAAGTGTCCATTAGGAAGGCCGAAATTGAGATGGACTGACCAAGTATTGGACATCAGGACGATAGGTGCAAATGTCAAGTTGGTAGAATACAGATAAGGGTGGAAGAGTGTGTGTACACACGGCGAAGAATTAACTGTGATTTATAGAGCCACGGCAGTAAGTAAGTATTGGTTATTTCTGACCTGCTTGTTTACATCTTGATTCTACCAGGAGATATCTGCTCATATTGTATTACATTGTTGTTGAAAAGGCAGACTACACAACAATTAACATGATTCTCTGAAGAAAAAATAGTTTTAATGGTTTCAGTTTAGTGACTGAAGAGGCAAAATAATAGCTTCCATGCTATTTATATTATTTTATTTTGACAATTACTTGAATAATACTGACCATTTCTCCACAAAGACAAAGTCAGCCTAGATTTTGTAATATGCATGTAACCATCAGTTTTCTCGGATCGTTGTGAAAACAGAAAATAGAGATATTTTTCTAACCAGTAAGTCTTTTTCAGAAATTACAGCACTTCGTTCGTTAATTCAAATATATTTACAACTCTAACTACACCACGGTGTTAGGTTTTAAAAGCTAAAACCACTTTAAAGAAAGCATTGTTCATTCATTAAAACTGAAAGTACACTTTTAAAACTCTCACCGTTCAAACCTGTTAGAAAACTTTTTGGTTAAATGCCGATAACACTTTTTGGAAAATAAACTTTAAGATTAAAATATTAATTATCATAGAGGTTACATTAAAACTATGAAAAATGTATCTCCAAAAATTGGACTATTATATCCAACAAATAATTATTTGTGCAGCTAATAACATTTATTTTGATATTCAAAGTTGTATAAGACTTTCCTTATTGGATCTTATCCACATAGTTAAAATTATTGGTTAGAATACAGCACTATGTGAGTAAAACAGACCGATTCTGCACAAAAAATTACAGAACATTACTGAAGACAACAATAATCTTTTAATGACGTCTTTATCATAATTATATTCAACACTAACCACAAAACATACAACTGATAAACACCCTTCTAGAAATGAGAAAAACAATAGTAAGTATTTAAGCGAACAATTTAATACAATAATTTCATGTGATATAACGAGTGAAAATTAAACACTAAAAATATACTAAACAGTTATAATGTACATCAGTTCATTGTTAAAAATATAAATATATTTGTATTTAAAACACCAGTAACATTTTTTTTAAACAATAGCTTTTACATTGTATTACATTATGACTTTGCCAGTGTAAATCGTGAACTTAGTCGACTCCAAAACAAGCAAATAACTCTGATCATGTTGAGAGGGAAAGAAAGAAGAAAGGCATTTTGTTACAAAGAGTAATGAATAGAAGTTGAGTTAAACACAAAATGTTTGGGTCAGGGGAAAAAGTCCCCTTCAACCTATTCTAGGACAAAATATTAGTGTTAGGTTATGTAACCATTTCTTGTACCTATATCCATTACCTCCTGGAACTTTTTCAGGTCAGCTATCTGAACTCTATTCCTTTTTTTAAATTTCCTAACAAAAAATTATGCATTTTGGACCATACAAAATATTACCTACCACTTCCTTAAAGGGTTCTAATTATTTTCAATCTACTTCTAAACATAGATTGACAATATGAAAAACAGAAGTTAAAGACACTATTTCCTGTAACAAAAACAATTTAAGCTTTTGAGCTGAACCAATTAGTTGTGCTTGGACAAATCAATATTAATGAAAATTAAATAAACAGCTAAAACTATGGGCAGTTTTCCTTTACAGATTCCCTCAAATTCAGATGTTTAATGATCTTAAATTGATGTCAATGAGAATGATAAGTTGCACTGTTATCAATATGTTGATCGGACTAACACATAAAATAACAATGAAAAACTGTTTACACATAATTATGGACATGAAAACACAATCATCACAGCGGAAACAGTCAACCATACAATGTACAAACAGGACAGTAATTAAATAAATAAAAGAACTTAACCTAGTCTCCTATTTTCGGTGAGATAACGCTAAAGTAATAAAAAAAGTTGCTAAAACACATAATAGGAAAATACAAACATAAACTAAAACAGGGTTAAAGAATGTTGAAGACTTATAACAGTCAATATTGTAATTTCATATTTGACAGTTGGAGAATGTAACAAAGTGATCTGAATCACACTTGTTTGTTCATGGTGAGAACTGTGGATCTCATTGTGGCAAAACTTGGGTAGCGAGCTGGTTTAGATATAAGTTTGCGACTTCAGTCCCTGAGGTCCCAGGTTCAAATCTCACTAATCACCAGCGGATTTTTTCTAAATGATAATGCCGCAACATCAAGGCCTAGCCTGAAGTAATGTGAAAATTGATACCGGGCTTGAGCCTAGCGCCCTAGGATGTAAAGGTGGGACAAAAAATTGATGTAAAACTTAATGTAAATTTAGATATTAGGTACTACAATAATTGGCTTCTTTTGAAGATCAAAGTTTTATTTTTGAAGAAAATAGATTTACTCATCATTATTTTTCTAGTAATGCATCAGTGCTATTATTTCAAAAAGATTTTTTTTTGTCATTCTTAGTTTAAAGCCAAATGCATAAAAGATGGAAAATAGAAAAAAAAAGAATGGAGTTGAATTATTATATAGATTTGAAGTAAACTAGATCTCCAACACAGAGAGACCAACAAATTAAAGTGGGCTCAAAGCCACCGAGTCAATCACTATAATTCACGGATTACTATCACTAAGGCAACTTAAACTGAAGATATCATTCTATTCAAATAAACTTGAAATGTAAAATACATTGATTACTTATGAAAACACCTTGTTTATTGCTGTTTCATAGAATTAATAACCAAATACGCTATCCATGTATCGAATGTAACCAGTAATTTAAATTACACAAGTGACAATAAAAAAAATACACAGGGATCCACAGTCTCAACTTAACCAATAGAGACGATTCAATAATCCAATTATTGCTTTGTTCCAACAAACCTGCCTGTCACACTTTAGTCTTTGGTACAACAAAACTTGATAAGACACTAGTCTGTTTGTAGGAAAACTAATAAATATAGTAACTTTGTAATATAGGTTTACGCACCGAACGATTAAACTAATCAAGTCAGTCAGTTTATTCACAGTCGCTGTCATCATTGCCCTCGGTATCGTCTTCACTCTCGGCAACTGCTGCGGCTTTCCGTTTCAGCCCCTGCATACGTTTCTGCTGCAACAGCAGCTCGTCTTCTTTTGTCCGCTCCTTGCGGAACTGGTAGACTAGAGGATAGATGTACTCGATAGCTTGCTGTACGTCGCTCACTGAAGGTGCTGCACACAAAATACTGTTTATAGCATTTACTTGTCCAAGTGTTGGAGTTATCTGATTTCAACATTAAAGGAAGGATGAATATAAAGTTTTAAAAACAAAACTAGGTTTTCTGGTTTGGGAATGTAGTATTTCCAGGTCAAAACTTAGTTCAAAAAATAAAACTAATTTAATGGTATCTGGTACATTAAAAAGTGATCAAAAACCAAAAATAGCTCCAATTCAAGAAAAAAAAAATGTTTTAAGTATTTAATTAGATTGATTATTGCATTTTTAACAGACGTGCGCAAGTGTTTAAATTTTGGAACTGAGCGTATAAGCTTGAATAATCCAGCACCAAGTCAGAAAATTAGGCCGAGCAGATTTACATTAGCATATTATCATGATCGTAGTGAGATTACTCATGATTACTGAGTAATTTTCAATTTTATTTCAGAATCATTTAGAATCAATTATTTAGAATTTAGAATCAATTTCAAACTTATGATTAACAAAAACTGATTAAACCAGAATCAGGCATCATCGTAATCATCTTCTGCGATCAAGCAACGCCCATGATGATTTTGTCTCCGCTGTTTAAGTCTGCCTGGCCGACAGATTGTTACAGGACCCTTAATGTATCCTCTACTACAAGTCTACTACTTTCTCTCGCTCAAAGAATGACAGTGGTCAGTGAACATGAAATATTTATTCTAGAGTTACTCTTTATCTTGTGTGAATCTAATCCTAGACAAAGGAAAGCCTGTTCTTACTAACAAATCCTGGACTAGATACCTTAATCAAAAATAATACCTTACCATTAAAGGTTGTGGAGTTCCAAATGATTTATCCCCACTTGAGCTCTAGCACAAATGTACGTTAAATTTATGCTTAGATACATTTTAGGATAAAGCAAGTGTCTTAAATGCACATGAAACAATAGAAACGTTACTATTTAGTGTACAATAATAATGAGAATTTTAGATCACGTTTAAGGTTTAAGTTTTTGACCACTAATGTCTTAAACTTAGTTTGAAACCCATCCTTATCCTACCTACTTGATCTACTATTTTTCTCATGTGTTAAAAGCTAATTATGATAAGGTTTGTGCAATTTTTATCAGCTTCTACAAAATAATTATTCATTACCTGTCACAGTTATGCTCCCTGTAGAAAATATTTTAAGTGTTGCTTTTGGCTGTTTCAGCTTGAACGTAACTCCTGGGTGAAGTTCAGGCTCGTATCTGTGAGTAAAATAGTTTTGCAAAATGATTCTCTACAAGACCAAGAGAAAACAGAGCAAAAGACAGTTACAGAATATAAAACCATAGACAAATAGAATAAATATAGCCTGACAGCAGTGCAGATGTTAGCATAATTTCAGCGTCCATCGCAAGGAGTGTCGTGTAGTTATGGCGCACACCACTGTAGCGTCTGCTGGTAGCATACAGCTCCTTGCCTGCAGCGGTGTACGCCGTAACTACACTCCTAGCGGCACATCGTGGAATCTTCCTTTGACAGTCTATATTTATTCTATTTGTCTATGAGAAAATTGTACAATATACAATACTTAAATAACAATGAACTAGTTTATGCATTCTCAAGTAATGTGAAAACACTATGGGTAGCCTGTGTAGGCCTACTTTGTGCGCCTCAGGCTCCTTTTAGGTTATTTCCCATAAGCGATTACCATAGGTCTCACCTAGACCTGTGACCAATTTACTTACACAATCTCCGTTCAAATTCATATATATATATATATGTGTGTGTGTGTGTGTGTGTGTGTGTGTCCATTAATGACTCAAGCAAAAGTTACCCGATTTCGAAGAAATTTGGTTTAAACATCAAACATGTAAACCTACGTTTATTCAAACAAGTTAGCGAACCAGCATGATCAGACTATCGGAACGGGGGTTTATGGGGAAATCAAAGTCACACTAGAGTCCACATCAACCAAATGTCAGTAACTGATTAACGTTGGCAGCACTTAATTCCTCTAACACGGTTGATACAAAAATTTTAAAAACTAGTGTTCTGTGGTTACGAATTGCTTGTGAATTTGCAGCCACTTGTTTTTAGCAAGGTGACAAAAACCGCTGGCTTTTTGTACCTATATTAAAGGAACCTTATGCAATAAAACATTTTACCTACATAAATGAAATGTAAATATAACTCAAATTTCACAGTAAAATCTGATTGTTGCAATATTTTTGAGACAAAAATGGTTGTGTACCATTCCAAAATTCAGTTAAAAATGTCTACTAACTATAGGCTATCAAATCCAGCATGCTAAAAAAATCTGTTGAACTTGAATCTGAGAATTCCTTTTTGGCATTTAGTGCTTGCTAAGGATAAACGGACTGATTAGAAAATTGATCGGAGCATTAAACTAAAGCGACTAGCAAGACTTAAAAAAACATAATGTAGGCTAAGAATACAATGGGAAACCATAGGTAGTTACTATAGGTAAAAGACGAATACAAACAGCTGCCATATTTTAGCTAATAGTTTTGAAAATCAAAACCTGTAAATTCCTACTTCCAGGTCTAACAGTAGGCTACAAAAAACTCACTCGGCTTGAGGTTTGTGGTACTCGGAAAATGCATTTATCTTGATAGCGAACGGCATAGAACACGTGCCGAGGACATTGACGATGCGGAAGTTGGCGAATCTGGTGTTGAAGCCTAGCTTCTGCAATCTCCGCGCGAACCGTCGTGCCGCTACGTGAGACTGGTCCTCACTGGTCGCTCCTGTACAAGTTATCTTGCCGGACGACCAGATAGAGGCTGTAGTATATGGTTTGCGTAGCTTCATTGTCACCATCTAGAACAAATTTGTGAATATTACCATTCATACAGTAAGTACAAGTATATGGGTATTAGTAAGAGCTTAAACGGATAAAAGAAAAGGGTAAAGAAGTATGGTAGTGGAGTAGTTTGATGGATTTGGAGAATATCAGGGGAAATAAAGAAGAGGAGTTTTAGTAAGTAAAATAATAATGTGTAGTATATGCTTAGGCTGCATGATAGAGGGAAAACACTACAATCAGACACAAACATATTTTGAGCTGTCACTTCTTTATGAGGGTACAAGAACCTCTGTAAGTTACATAGTTTGGGAATAGTGACACTAGGAGGTGTAAGTTAGGCATGGAAGTTATTTAACATAAGAGATGAATATCCAGGGTAACCTTGTGGCAACTGTTGTCATGCTAACCTGTTGCTGCGAACTCCCTGTTATTATAAAAAGGTTTTCCTTAGCTCTGTTGCAAACAATTAAACTGATAGGGAGGAAGACACTTTCTGATGTGCTAAACAAATTAGGCTAGGCCCTAGTTGGATGGTTTTTAAAAAATTGGCTGGTTGTAAAATGTTGTCTGTATAACAGAATTATCACTAGTTTTAATGGGTATTTTTGTTTAAGTAACTAGCTGCTCCATCTTAGAAAAAATAATATTTGATAGGTGGCTTCCTTAAAGTTCTTATATAGCCTAGGATTCTATAGGGGAGAGTGGGTAGGGTTGGGACAGAGGGAGGGATGGGACATTCATTTTTAACCTATTTAAGTTGGTATCTCTGCTCTCTTTTTTCTACAGCATATATTTCCCTCTTTTTTCTTTCTCCTTGTGAAGTTTGGCAGAGCTACCTGACACTGTTCAGTTTTTATAAAAGTTTAACTGATTTTTTGACGAAATCTCTAGTATTTTGACGCAACTTATTGGATGGAAATCTACCAAAATAAAACTGTTAAGGCAAGTGCAATATTTTTGTTGGATACTCCAATGATTAAGGAAGATTTTGATTGCTTATAAATGAAGCTAACTTTTGAAGTTATGTTTCAGTAATCTTATTTGTTAAACCATGTGCTTGAGGGAGGCATGGGACAGTAATATGAGGGAGGGTTGGGGCAGTGTCTTGAAGTGTACTAAACCAGTGGAAGACGCTGAGCTGAGTGTGATGGTCTTAAATGCTGTAGACACCACTAAAAAAGTGTTTATTGCAAGAGAAGAAGATGTGTCATGCATTATGTTGGGAATGTAGGCCTACATGGTATTTTACCGTTTCCCAAAATAACAATGCAAGTCGATAAGGTCAGATTTGTTTTCATAAAAAAACAATGTTTTTGAAAAGTAATCAAACTTAGTAGGCGTTCCTTTATCGTATACTACAAGTTCTGTTACCTAAAGAATGAATAAATGCAGTTGTTTACTTTGAAAAAACATTCATTCAATATGTATCAACCCTCCCCAACTGGTGTCCCAAGCCTCCCTCATAGAGGGAGGTTTGGGACACTTTGTACAGTAATAGTATTAAATGCATAACTACAAAATTAATTGAATTTCAACCATCTAAACTACTTTATTTGATTACTGAATCAATAATACTTTCATGTAACTTTTGTTTGTTAACCTAACTCAACTACAAAAAAATTAAAAAATAAATAATCAAAAAGTTTCCCATCCCTCCCCCCTCTCCCCTATAGTTTTTCCAAAAAATCGGATGGCCTACAAAATTTTTCACTTTTAAGGGTGACTACCAGGCCAACCAGCAAAAATTCATGAGTAATTCCAGGCAGTTCAGGTCAAACTTTTCATACCAAACTTTCCAACCCGTTTTTACGCCAGCTCCCACAATGCTATTTAAGCGCTAACTTTACACAGTTCGCTATTTTAGTTATCGAAAAAAGCACTCTCAGTTAAAGGAACAAAATTTATGATTAGGCCTAGGCCAACTGTAAAGTAAGTAGGCTGTGATTAGGCCTGACACAAGTAGGTATAAATTTTTTTTATATTACTCTGATAAAATAACCAGCAAATTTAAAACTAATTATACTTTCTTAAAACTGCATTATTTTTCATTCTAGGTAACTTTTTTAAAAATATGTCGATACCAAAATTTATTGATTCTCCATAGCGTTACCTGAAAAATAGATTCTCAATAGGTAGGCCTACTGATCATTTTAATTTTACAAAAATTAATGCAGCAATTAAAAATAAAAAAAAATCCAATTTAAGTTTTTCACCTTTCTAAACAGATTAAATAAAAACCGTATTAAACATATGCATAATGAAGATATTAGGTACATAGAATTTCAAAATAGTACAAATTTATTGATGTACCATCCGGAAATTATGGTCAAGACGAACTCGAGGTAATATCATGATCATCTAGGCCTACCACTGTCTTAGAGACACCATCAATGTCTTCCACGATCAATGCAAAATCCTGAATATCTTCCTCAGTAACGGAAAGATCACCACTGTCTTCCCTGGTCCTGATATTGTTTAGCCGGTAACGTAAACATCATAATTGTCTACCGTCACAGAAATGTTATCACCATCTTCCGCGGTCGTGTAACATTGTCATTTTCTCCCGCGACCGCGGAAAAACCATGAACATATCCCAAGGCCGTGTGGACATCATCATCATCTCCCGTGGTAACGGAAACAACATCATCATGCGCGATCAAGGCAAAATCACTAGCATATCCCATGGCCGTGTGGACATAATCAGCATCTTCCACGGACACGGAAACGTCATGGGCATTCACGGTAGATTAAACTACAGATAAAAATACTTAATTCACACATAGCTCCCACTTTTTTCCTGGTTCAACAAATCTTACATATTTCCCGGTTTTCCTGGTTGGTGGACACCCTGCTTTTGCATGCGTTGTAAAGGTAGGCGTTGTGGTAGATTAGGTACATACCTACTCAAAATTTGGATATTCTAGGAATTACAAATCAGCTGGCCTACACTCTGGTCTACAAACATAAATTCACCTGTATTAAAAACAGGCGTAGGCTACCAATTTTATTTTTAAATGTTTTGTACTTTATATTCTCGATCATCCTTGGCTCCGGGGGTAGATAGGCCTAACACAGAATAAGATATAGGCTATCCATCTACAGCCCAGGCAAGCTGGAAGGGAGCTTATTTGTTACAAATACCAAAATAACAAATCAGAAAGCTACCAGTACGATTTAAGATTTACCTACCAAAAATAATCCAACATGCTTGCTCAAGCATCAACAGTTTAATTTTAAAGCGGTATAACCCGTGGCTATAGAATACAGGGGCTGGCTCACGTCTTTGATGTAGCACTTGCCGACACGGCCCCGCTTCCCCACCTCCTGTGACGTCACCGGGCTGACAGTCGGGCCTGTTTCCATTACGCGGCCAGCGAAAATCTCACTCTTTTACACGCTCCTCTGCCGTTGTACGAACATATTTCTCATATGAAACTTATATCGTTGTATTCTGCATTAACAGTAGAATCCAAATATCCAAACAGTTTTTAGTTTACCACAAGTAAATTGGTTTTATAGCAACAAATGTTGAGACACTACAATTATGAAAAAAGAAGCGAGGAATATTTTTATTTTCGGGTTAGGCACAAACTTTCAGCGCAAAGAATTATAACTGAATGAAAACTGTAGTCAATCAGTTCTACCATAGTAATTACTTAACGATTTTTAAATAGGTACCCCTAACAGTTCATTAGATCGTCTCAAAAGACAATTGTTTCAAGGTAATTTTGCCGTTTGCTTCAAAATTTTTAGGTTATTGTTATGGCAACACTGCATCTAATACGCGTGAAATCAACTTTGCTCTTTCATTGTTATTCGCGTCTTCTTTTTGTTTCTGAAGAAGATAGAAGAAAAATGATCAGAAGATGAGTAACTGGCTAAAATCAGCGAAATAGGTTACAACTATTATAATAAAAATACTATCGCATTAAAACGCTTTTTTACTTTTTTCTACGAATAAACACTTTGTTCTACAGACAATATAAAATTACCTAAACCATTACACATTCCTAAAATATACCCAACCAAGTGTATTAGAATATATGACAAGGGGTACCGGAATATCAAACAAGATTTAAATAACAATTTAAGCCTTAAGTCTACACAATTCTTAAAATTCAGTTTTAGAACTAATTAATTGTTTCACTAATAGAAACAGTGCAATTGTTTTATCACGATCATAAAATTTTTTTACTATCATGTTATAAACAGCACGATGCGGACATGTGCGGAACGATGTAATTTGATCCCCAAGTTCCTGATAAGCACAAAACGACCCGTTGGTTTTATCAAGAATTTTCAGGCTAATTATTGAAGTAGAACTATTAATGAATATTTTTCTCGCTCAAACTTTGTCCCTATCCCAAAAATAAAAAAAAACTCCCCGCTTAGTGACTTTTTGTAATTCACAAGTTTGTAATCCTTATAATTTTCTCCTTAAAAAAACATATTATTGATCATAACTAAAATGTTTTTGGACCATCAGATTCGGTAGTTAATGCAGATTCCAACGATATAAGTTTCATACGGAACATTAAATTGTGTTAATTTAGGCAAGCCTTTGAATTAGAGGTTTGTATATGTGCCGCGCGCTAGCTACACCCGTGGAGTCAGCTCGGTGACGTCACAGCCACACGGCACTGGGACCACTTTGCTAGTCGATGTGAGCCAGACCCTGTATTCTATAGCCCCGGGTATAACCTAAGTTACAACTTACCCCGTGCTCCCGCCTATACTCCACATTGACACCAGAAAGAGCTATTTGTCGAAGGTTCAAATGACACCGAACACTAAAGCTACACACCACGTTGTTTATAACAATGTCTATTTCCGGTTCAGGTTCTTGTTCCTCACAATTCACTTCACTTTCATTATGAGTTTGCAACGCTTCGTTCTGCATTTGTTGGTCTTCTGTTTTTGTCTGTGGCTGAACTTGTGATTCTTTTATGAGATATTGATGTTCCATTACAAGATGGTTGACAGCTCCGTTTGGCAGTGACTTCATCCCATTCTTCTGAATAGCAGTGGCCATCATAGAATATCTGTCAAGAAAAAGAACACCTTCAGAATAATAAAATGCAAATCACATGTAGCCTATTAAGTTATACCCTATATAGGCCTACAAAGTTTGAATGAACCATGAGCCCAATCATCCCGAATGAATAAATAGGCTAGTTGTTGAACGATTTAAAACATACATGGTAATTGCTAAGTAGACTGACAAGCAACAATCGTATCCTCATTTTTAGGTTCGAGAGGAATTCAATTGTATATTCCTTACACTAATGATGATATACAATTATATTTCAATATTTCCAATCCAACTTGTTTTACAATCTAATCGATACAACTACTTAATACAAGTAAGACCAGAGAGTAGCCTATTAAATTGAACATAAAAATCTTAACTAATGACATCTCTATTTAGAATGACTTTTTCACTGACTGGAGACGAAAGAAAAGTCCTGGGCCATGGTAACTATAGCTTTTCCTTTTAAGCAAGGAACTGCTAACTTAATAACAATATTTTGTAACAATTCTGCTTAGTATTAAATTATCTTTGAAGAATTAAATATTCTTAAGGTTGTATCCAAGTAATACGGCAATTTACACAAATATAACAAAAGGCTTTACTAAATAGAGTTGAATACAAGTCAAAAGCAGCGTGAGTAATGTGAAAGTGTCAGCTGCAGTTTTATTGCGGGCTACATCAAGATTTAGTGTTCACAACATTTTGGAATGTAGAATCTGGACCTGCCTTCAGGTAAGAAAGTATATAAAACCACAGAGAATAGACCATTACAGATCTCTCACTGCAGTTGCGCTTGGATAGTTCAAGACCTATGTGTTGCAGCGCTGGTGTTCTATTGTCTGTGATAAGAGAGTATAAAACAAATCTAGCTAAACTTTAAGCTGGAAAATCACATAGAAGACCAGACTATACAGTGAGTAAACCAAATACAGTAGACTCCCTCTTATCCGGACTCCTCGTGACTAAGGCCAGTCCGGATAACGGTTTTTCCAGCTAAACCAACGTCCCCAAAAAACTCGTTAAAACGGACCGTTTACTGTGATATTCAACTTAAATTTAGGAGAGCATTGTATTTAGACACGTGATCATTGGTCTCAAGTCTTTCCCATGAGATCAGTCGTTTCAGTACCTCCCACTTCCTGCCGATCTAGTCTGGTTAAATTAATGTGTTGATAAAAGTTGTCCGGTTAAAGAGATGTAATTTTCGCCGAGTGTAGTCCGGTCAAAAGGTGTCTGGATAAGAGGGAGTCTACTGTAGTGGTCAGAACAATACTGTTTACTGTTTTTTTTTTTTTGCATGTTGGTTCTGACTACCGGTACAGGTTTTCTTGTGGTTATTCTATGAGATTTTTCACCTTTAGCTGGGTTTGTTTATTAATCTTGTTATATTTTAGGTACTTCTTCACCTGGGGACAGGATAAGATTCCAGATCACGTAATGATGTAATAACTTTTTGTCACTAGTTAAGATGGAAATTGTCTGCAATAATCGCACGAATACCATAAAATTAAAAAAAAAAAACTTCAGTAAAAAACACTTAAGACATCTCACTTTAACCATCCTTCACTCAAATTTGGATTAAAATACACACCTAGGTTGTGTTCACATCGGCAATACAATATAGTAGGCCTAATGGTAATATTATGTTTCGAGGGTAGGTACTTTTAAACATTTGATTCAAACTATAGGCCTATTTTAAAACAAAGTTACTTTAGTATTTTTTGCTATCCCAGTTTCGAGAACTTGGATTAGCCTATATTAGATTTAGCTTTGTTCAAGTTCTTGTATACCGTAGATAAATTACATTGCCTAAGTTACAAGTATACAGATAGAGCATACAAATCAAGTTTGAGAGTCAACATTATTTTTATAGATGCTACTATGTTGAGCCACCATCATTTATGTAATAAGTAAATTGGTAACCACTTATTAATTCTTGGACAGGCAAGTGATTTAAGACAAGCTAACATTATAAAATGAAGCAGTTAATTTTAATTTCTGGTGTTTTTTATTGATTTTTATTTTGAAATAACATACGGTAACAAATTACTTCTAGGAGCATATATTTTATATACAAAATTGAGCACACTTATGAAACCCAACCTATTACAAAATGTAACAATAGGTTATAAGAATCAAGAATAAGTTATTTATTGGACAAGATTTTATTTATAAGCATTTAAATATGATAAATTTGAACACAGTTTGTGCTCTAAAAATATTTTCACATCTTTTAAAATTAGTTGTTTAGCTCAAGGGGAAACATAAAATTCCACCTATCAAAAGCATGTCTGGAGAGTGCAGGAAGATAGTGTGAACTTTTTAATGTACAAACATCTATCTCACACGTCTATAGAATCAGCAAAATACTTTTTTTTTAAATCACCAAATGCTAAAAATGTGACATTAGGAATACAGTTAAACGTTCAATGCATTTATTTGTTCAACTTTTGTAACCTACTCGTTGAATCTAACACTTGTTGTATGATAATAATGTTAGAAACAAGTACCGGTAACTTAGTTAATTGTTAATTTATTCTTCCCTATTATAAAATCACGTTTAAGTTACAATGAACCTGTTGAAATAAACACTCAAATGACTACTTGCCACAGGAGCTTACAAGAATCAATAGCCGAACTGAACTCATAAGTTATGTTTGATTATAATCCAGGTATACCAGAGCAACCTCAAGATAATAACCCTTGGTATAGCAATTTTTTTAAAACAGTGTATATAACAATTTTCTTCAAATTCTCTGGAACATTGTCACATGAATCAATGCTAATTTTACCTCAAAACAAATAAACTGTAAACCTTTGTACGACAAATTTTAAGACTACAGTATGATTTTAAAAATCAACCTCAGTTTATAGCGAATTTCTTGTGGTTGGTAATTAATTACCAATCCTCTATATCAAATTTCACATCTCTACAACAAAATTCCTTCCATTGTACCTCTATATAACGGACGTAACATAAAAAAAGAATCGTCCCTCAACATGAGAGCTCAGTCATAGCAGACAAGTTTGTTTCAGTTTGTTAGGGACGATTAACAGCAAAAAAAGAATCAGTATTCCCTGATGACTAACAGGACGAACAAAGTTCTTAAATGCCTTCCTTAGTAATGTGTGACTACATAACTTAAGGTTGGTAGCCTAAATGATAATTTGGTGAAATAGATCACCAAATTGTATTGCTCAATGGACTTAGTTACGTGAGCAAATTACAAATTCAAACATGAAGTTAGTTACGAGAACGACTCTGGTGATTGAACGAGTTATTATTAGCACACGTTCACTTTGGTTTTAACCATGTACAAGGAACAACTCTCGTTTATTTCAATTATTTTGTTATAAATTTATTTGCGCATTATTTTGTTCAAAATTTGATCTCAACTCATATTTTGAGTAACTTGGCTGTGATGATCACTTCTTAAAGGCCAGCTAATATAGTTAATGCATTGTTGTAATTATAATCTGAGCCAAAAAACTCAAAAAGATAATTAAATTTACAAAATAGTTAGAATCCTGGACTACCTCATTGATGGCTAGGCTATCTGGACAAATTTAAGATGTGTGACTAATTTTGGGTGAGACAAACACGACTACGCATTTCACGAAACCACGATATTAGGTTATAAGTTAATCAATTTTGTCCCGGCACTGGAATTTACGTCACATTTTATGTCGGGCTGAACAGGGACATACATTGTAGGACGATCATAAATAATTAATTTTGACTCTATATCTAAAATTATGTCACAAGTTTGTATCATTTTGATTCAGTGTGACCATGAATGTTATTTTTTAACATGTCTAATCAAAGATATATGATTTACACTGATCATGATAGTGAAAAATAAATACAAATGGATTGTCATTATTCCTAAACATTTAAGTTGTCCTATTGTTATAACTTATTATTTATATAACTCAGCTAAAATTTGTTATTTTGAATAGGCCTAGATTTCTAAAAAAAAAAAAAAAAACATTGTCCTACAAGAACATTTTTAATGGTAAGGAATTGGGATTAAAAGTTAGATCCTTAATTAAGTAGTATACTGTAGGCCTAATTCCAAATAAGTTAAGTTAACTTACTGGATTATTTAATCATAGTAAGTATAACTTATGTTTAAATATTACAGTACCGGTAAGTTAAAATCATTACAAAGACATGAAATGATGCTCAACTTACCTGATATTTAACTGTATCAATTAGATAAACAGCGTGACCATTATTGTACGGTAATTATTTGGGTGCGACTGACGGAGGGATTAAGGGCCATATTCCATAGGAATAGATCAAATTGGCTGAACTCATTGAAGTTATGATGCATCTTAAGTTAATACTAACTTAAGCGCCTAAGTGCAGTTTTAAATAGCCACACCTCTTCAAACTGTGTTAAACATGAGAGGTTAGGACATTTTACTTAAGTTATTGGTATTTTTAAAGAGTGTTTTTAATAGCCTACCATATAACTTAAGTTACTTAGGCCTGAGGCTAACTTAATTTTTGTCCATACTAAGCTTAAGTTATAACTTATAATAATTGTATCCATCAAAATAAAAACAGTAGGATTTAAGTTAAGTCCTAGACCCATTCCTTTGGTTAAAAATGATAACTTAGACATTTGAAGAGGATAACATTTTTGGATTTCTCATGAGATATGAGAAAAACCTAACTTAGGCCTATTTAACTTACTGTAAGTTAGATCATGCTTAGCCTAAGACAAAAAGTTAGGACTAGGCTTAAGTTATTTACCAAGTGAAATTATTTGTCACTACACCCATCTGTAGTAGGCCTTTTGATTTACATTTTCTTAAAAACGATAACTTAGGTGCATTGACTGATAATAAATAAGTGGAGTGTTAAACATACCAATGTTTTACTTTCCAAACGATATGTTCCATGATGGGATGGATTTGAAGTTGTATGAAATTGGGTCTAGGCCAAACTAACAGGTCTCCCCTAGGGCTACTTCAACTCAAAAGAGCGTTTAAATTTTTTGGAAATACAAGTGAACTCACAAGATGAATTTATAAAACAAAATGTATTACAGTTGTAAAAATTATCACCATTTGTTTTGGAATCACGGCACCAAAACCCATAACTTTATCTGAACGACATACCACCTTAGCACATTTTAATAATGCACTAGGCCTACTGATTTTGTCAAAACACCCACTTTTAGTTTAATCTTTATATTCTAATACACGGTTTCGGACACACGCAAAGAAAGTGCCAGTGACACAATTGAAAATAATATAAATTACTTTTATTCCCAAATGAATGTGAACAAAGACGAGGGTTTGACAAAATCCTACACAACAACGATCCGAAGGGCAGAACTGTTTTACAGAATGCTGAACAAAAATGACTAAACAATTTATACATTTATTTAGGGATACTTACTGCAAAATTATTCCGAGCAAAGAATCTAAGTTGTAGTTAAATTGTAAAACTATAAAACATTACTAAATACTAATTTCGACAATGGATGAGAAACCCATAATGTTGTCAAGTCTGCAAGTGAAGTCCCAAATTCTGCATCTGATTTCTGATTTCTGATCTGTCCCTGTCCACCAATCTGCAACCTCAACCTGTGTAGCATCCCTGAACGACTGCACCTGCACGCACTGCACATGAACCCCACGAAGTTTTTAGGAGCAAATTTTCAGTGACGTTTGATTAGCATTGGTTATAAAAACAACACATTTATTTTAAGAGTGTTTATTGAATTACTAGTAAACATGTTGATTGAAATCGACCATAATAATGATTTGGGATATTATGGTAAGGTAAAAACCCATTAACATTTTTTTTTTTTTTTTTACATTGCACCATAGATAAAACATACTCCCTTAGTAGATTTCTCATCCTTATGGAACAGCTGAAGACAATTATATTGTTAGTTCTGTACGGTTTATGTACGGTCGTGTTTTGTTTACAATTTGTTTCCTGTTATTACAGCCATTTAAAACCTCGTTTACCAAATAATACGATCTAATCATAGGCAATAACTTGTCCCCTAGTTATATAACCAAACAGTAAAGCACAAATCAAGAAATTAACCCTAAAATAATAGAAACAAAGTTTCGTCGACACTAGCGCCCATGTGTCACGTACATGAACTAGACACGAAAAACGTGCTTCAAAATTCACAATGGGATGAGAAGTCTACTTGTGTTGGTTAGTCTATGATTGCACTAAACGATACTACACTCGGTCTACTGCAATGTAAATAAATAAGTTTTTAATAAACTGTACTCCTGATTATGCCTCAGAAATAAATAATTAATACATCACTCAATATTTATTTCTCCACAAGTAATTCAGTAAATTTTTAATATAATCTAAGAAACAAATTATTTATAACCTAACAATGTACATACAAAATTATAAATAACTTATTGTTAATTAATTAACGAAAAACAATTTGCTTTTATCTTGTCAAGAAATAAGTTCGGCCGCTTAGAAAACGACCTGCGCGCTAATGCTAAACCAATGCTGGAGGAGGTCGCTTTCTAAGCGGCCGAACAACGAATAAACTTCTTCTATGTGTGGTATGGGAGCAAGGCCTCACTAGTTTTTTTCTTTTTTGGGGAATTGATGGGCGTTAATTAAAACTTAACAACACATTTTCTCTGGAAGGGATAAGAATACCCCCACCACAGCAAACCTGCTGACTCAGCGAATTTTTATTAGTCTGAATTGATTTTCAATTAAATTTAAATAACATTAGGTTTAACGAGTAACTAAGTTTGCTGCTACAAGGAAACTAATTAATTATTTCCTCACACAAAGTGTGTTTTTTAATAAAATATTAATAGTTTAGTATAAGATAAATAAATTTGCCAAGTGTTATCAAAATATATCCATAAAACAAGCAAACTACAACATTTTACAAAGAATAACATACATTTTTTTTAATTTGCTCCGTAACCAATAACCGCACAAAAACAATCAAATACTAAATTATTTTTTTGAATCTCTTTTAATAGGTAGAGAGAAATTGTGATTTTTTGTTTTGAGGGTAAAAATGGGAATACCCTATTTTTACCCCATAAAGCCCCTCGTAAAACCCCGTTCCCATGGTCCGATCATACTGGGTTCGCAAACTAATTCAAGTTTATTCCACCATAAGTCAAAAAGTCATTTATTGGCCAAATTAACAAATACAATTTGCATTAGCTACGTAAATACACTGAATACAACTCAGCAACTTAAAATGTATACCCTTATTATACAATAATAAAATTAAAAGGAAAACAATCGTTAATCACCAGCCAGAAACTCACGGACGCTGTAGTAACATCTCAAAAGCAACATGGACTTAAGTTTCCTCTTGAATCTATGTAAGGTGGTCTTTCTCTAACTTAAGATCGATGGGTAGATTGTTGAAAAGTTTAATTCCGTTGTAGAGGTGATGTTTAAAAAAATAAGTGGAGTGTTCGGGAATTTTACAGTTGATTGTAGAGTGCAAGAGATAAATGCAGGAATGAGAGTCGACATGAAACTTGGAAAAGTTTTGCCTGACAAATTACAGCGTCTTAAGGATGTAAAGGCGGAGGGAAAGGTAAAAATTCCAGATGAGCTGATGACGTCCTTGCAAGAATGGTGACGTGGGAGAGAGAAAATGGTTCTCACTGCGTTCTTCTGAAGCCCAAACAAGAAGTGTTCTTGGATTTTCAGCACCCCTGATCAGCAGAACATATGAAAGAAAAGGATATAACAACCCTTAGTAGGCTGAAAGAAGAACATCAGTACACAGAAGAACATCTTTGATGGATCGGTTTGAGATACGTAAATTTAGAAACTGGGCTTTCGGTGTATTTATTTAACCTGTTGCCGTTAAACCACTAAATGAGTTTGGTGGCTTCGATGAAGGTTCTTTGTTCAAGTTTAGCTGAAGTATGACTAGATAGTGTCAAAGAGGTGTCGTCTGAAAACAAGCAGACCTTGGCGTTTGTGCTTGAGGGGAGGTCGTTGATAAACCGGAGGAACAGAATCGGACCGAGGCCAGACCCTTGAGGCACCCCATTATGACTGGAGCCACGGAGGACATGAAGTGCCTCACACATCCACCACCATCATCAGCTGGTATCTCAACGATCTGTTTCCTTCCTTTGAGAAAGGTTTTCAACTTTTATGGTATAGTCAATGCTAAAACTCTATTGTCTACATTATTTTTTGTTGCTGGCCAAGCTGATGTGTCATAACAGTTGCTATAGCCATAGCTCACAATAAGTCATTCCATTAATAGTTTGAGTTCATAAAAAAGCTTGTTTATTCGAGAAAAATCAATAATTTAGATCAGCCCAATCTGTTAGTGGCTCACATCAACTATGATGATTTTGGTTAGAAAACGGGCTACAAGTTTAATATGGGAATGGAATGTCTAAAATGCTGTATACAATTTTATTGAATATTTTCCTAGGATGAATTTTATTGACATTTCATTTCTTCGGGAAGGAGTGTGACAACTCTGCAAAGCACACTCAAACGTAGCCCCAGCATGAAACAAACATTAAAACAAAGCTCCAGTCTCCAGGGCCACGGCTTTTGCATGTGCATGTGCTATGGACCCGAGAGCTAATTGCGCTCATCTCCACCTTCAATGTGGGGGAATCTTTTGCTTCCTTGCTCCTCCAATAAACCAAAAACCTTTTTCGTCCCCGGGTCCGGGCCCACTGGGCTAATTTTATAAACGCGGCCCTGGTATATTCAAGAATTAATATAAGCCCAGACTTTAATATAACCAATTATTAATAATTATAGATGTAATGGTCTATTGCCTGTGATATAAGTAGTTAATGTTCACCAACTATATTGTCGTGTAAAGGTCAGTCCATTGACTTAAAATCAATCACTAAAGTGTACGTGGATGGGATCGGATCTACTGGGACTGTTTGCTGTGAATTGAATGTTAAAATAAATACATGGAGAGTAGAACAATATCAACATGAAAAGCCCCGTTCACACGGGGCGAGTTTACAAGCTACACGCCGGCTTTTTTACATGCAGCTAGTAAAATAGCTCAGTGTGAACGACGTACTCGCTCAAAAGCTGCTTGTAAAAAAGCTCTGGAAAAAGTTGACGCTGCTGCTACTTTACACGCCAACTCGCCAGCTTTTGAGCGAGTAGGCGTGTAAAGTAGCCCAGTGTGAACACAGTTGCTTGTGCTTGTGCGCTTGTGTTACTCAAAGATGTTGGAGGATTTGGTTCAAGCCAGCTACTGAGCGAGTGGAAAAAGCATCGTGTGAACGACTACAAGCGCACTCGCCGACTCGCCGGCGTCTTTCTACACGTCTGCGAGTAGGCGAGTGGACAAGCTCCGTGTGAACGAATACAAGCACACTCGCCAACTCGCCGGCTTCTTACACGCTGGCGTGTAGCTTGTAAACTCGCCCCGTGTGAACGGGCCTAAACATTGATTGTGCACATTTATGTTCAATAACAAATTTTTGTAAACTAACAAATAACCTTAATTGCAGGATGAATTGGAAGCAACCACAACTCAGTGTACATCGATGCTGCCTGTTCTTTTAAACTGAAGCCTGCTCACAGTCTAATATAAATAAATATTTATATTGTTAGACTGTGGCCTGCTAAGCTAAGCAAACTAGAGAAAAAAAATACATCAAGAAAATCAAGCGGAGTGGAGTGAGTTGAAACGAAACGCTAACAACAAGAGACCGAGAACCAGAAGAAGAAGACAGACTTGACAGAGACAGAAGAGAGAGAAACAGCAGAAACAGGAACAGACGATTTTCTTGTTCTTCCCAGTGTTAAGTTTTCGTTTGTCTAGTCTCAGCCTGACGTTTATCAAATAGTAGAGTACTTTATATTTTATTTAGTTCCAGCAGAAGATCAACAACACAGCTAGTTATAAGTTTGTATTATTTATTGTTATGTTGATTTCAGAAACGCGTAAATCATGCAGAGCGTAATCAACACTGTGAAAGGGACTGCTCTGGGAGTTGCAGAATATTTGACACCTGTTTTGAAGGTGATTAGCCTAGGCCTAATTTAGGTCTTAGGACAACATACCCAAGCATGGTTGCATAAGAATAACAAGTCTCAAATATAGGCATTTTTGATAAAGATAGGCTTATTTGTAAATTGCCTTTTTGATAAAGATAGGCCTCTTTGTAAATTGCCTTACTGATAAATATCAAAAGATGGGCCTAGCCTAGGCCCTATCCCTATGTTTTCTTACTTATTGTATGTATGCTAGGCTGACCTACAGCGTACGCTGGTCTTTTTGGAATTAGGTTATCTGTAGGCCTATGATATGCCTCATAAGATGCCTCTAGGCTATGCCCTAGGTGCAACTTATGAATCTAATGAGGTCTGCAGTTTAGCCACCAGAGTTGTAAATAACGACATGCATATTTATACAAGAGCAGTGATGAGGAAACAGACTGGTAGCGTAGACACTAAGAATGTTGCCAACTAGGCCTAGTTTTGCACCCATGGTCTTGCGATTCTCTCCCTGTTCTTCTAGTAGGCATATGAATAACTTAAATCACCTTAGAACAATTCTCAGGTAGCCTACACTTTCATATCTGTTGCACAAACAGCCGAATGAATAATATTGATTATTCGATTGTTTAATTTGATGTATCGTTTGGTTAGGTTTACCTTACCCAACTAAGTTAACCAGACGATATATTGATCAATACTTTCATGCGGTTGTTTGTGCCAACAGATATGGAAGTGTACCCCAATTCTCTTTTGAAGTAGGTTATACTAACTTAGGTCCTACCGTAGGTGAGTTGTGTGTCTGTAGCATTTGCCTGAGAATATCGCTTAGGGGACCATGTATAAGTTAAAGTTTAGTCCTCGAATACATTGCCTAGTCTTAACCGTATGGACTAAAGTGTTTTAGTGATAAGAAGATAATTTAAGAAAACCTCTGAAGACGCCACACAAGCTGGTGAAGTGCATAGGGTGATACAAATAAAAATTCTTCCCCCAGAGCTATCATAATTTTTTTTTTGTCAATGATGGTTTTGATCGACCAGTTGACCACTAAACAAATGAGGTTAACTTAATAGCTTTATAAATAGAAATGAGCAGCACAGACGTAAAAGTCTTATTTCAGTGACGTTCGCTGTAAACTTTTAGCAATTTAATATTCAAACTGCAGGAAGCGAGTTGGTCTAGTGGTTAGAGCGTGGGACTTTGGTTCCTGGGGTCCCAGGTTCAAATCCTGCCAAATCACCAATGGATTTTATCTAAGGACAAAAGCGTAACCATTTGTTTTAAGTGTTAAGACGTATCTTTTATTTACTTTCTGTAAATACATTAAAGCCAAGTAACCTGCCTGCTCTACTGGCCTCGTATGAACGCGGCTTTAGGGAAGACTGCTGATAGGAAGCCATTAGGATTACCTGCCTCTAGTGTATTTCAAGTTACCTTGGAGGCATGTAACCTGCCTGCCAACTGGCTTTATGTAGACACAGCTTAACAGTATTTTTCAAAGAATGAGTAAATCAAAGTACTTCTTAGTTAGGTAACAATGGTACTGGTATCAAGAACCGAAAATCAATTTTATCTATGAAAGGTTTCTGTTAACTATGAGAAAGTTGTGCCGACACATCATAATACACAATACATAATTAAAGTTCATGAAAATATACACAGTTAAAAAGTGAACCTGTATAAAAAAGAAACAGTTTATTCAAGGCAAGGATTGGTGTTGATTTCAAAACCATTATTCTGCAATATTGGAAATTTGTCTATGGTTTTATTTTAGCAATAAGCTGAGCTCCTAATTGATTCTGACGTTTCATGTTATGTTTATACTTACAAAATTATTGTAGGCAAAAGCCTTAGCTCGGAATATTTTACAGCCTAGGTTATAAGTAGGCCTATAGCTTTCATTCAGTTTTTTACAATACCATACTGCACCTTCTGGTTTGAATGTTTTTGGTTACTAACACCTTCCATGTCCATAAAATGGCTCTAATTGTAAACATCTTGTATTCTGCAGGAATCAAAGTTCCGAGAGACAGGAGTGATCACACCCGAGGAGTTTGTAGCAGCAGGAGATCACTTGGTACATCACTGTCCCACGTGGCAGTGGGCGAGCGGAGACGAGGCTAAGACAAAGCCATATCTGCCCAAGAACAAACAATTCCTAATCACTAGGAATGTGCCGTGCACCCGACGATGCAAACAGGTTTGTAAAACATTTGTTGTAGGTCTAGTATTAATAATAGCTGCATCCTATATAGCAAAATTTCAAATTAATTTTAATTTATTACCTTATTATAACACAGTTATATCCTTAGGTTTGCCTACTGCTACGAGCATGAAAGCTACATCTAGATGCCACTCGTTAGGATTTTAATTAATTTGTCGCTTTGCAAAACGAGGGGGCGTAGTTACATAGACTTACTTCCACCTCTTCTTCTTGCAAGCAACAAATTATTTTATATTCATAATTTGCAGAATGTTTGTAAGTAACAAACCTGCACTACTCATTCTACACTAATAACCACAGACAATATAATACTTTAACCCAGACGTCTCACTGCGCGATGCGTAGGGCCCCGTCACATCCTGCCTCTAGCGGAGAATCGAGGAAACATGCAGTCTCGCGCTCGCCTCGCCAGTCGCCGGCATGGTCGGCGTCGGCGGTCGCTGGCTTGCAATTAATTGCAGCACTAGCAGTTCAACTCAACGCCAAATTCTCGTCTATCATTCCTCATCCACAACTCGCGCGGTCCACCGATACCGTACTCCCTACGACTACCATCTGCCTGCAGACAGCATTTATTTTTCATTATGTGATTATTTTAATCACAATTGCGACGAAGTTTAGCAATTAATTAAACATGGTGTTCAAAAAAGGTGGGGGACATATTTTACTTAGTGATTCCTTGGGTAAAAATAAAGAGAAAATCAAGAATAGTTTTTTTCCAAAATCGCTTCGTTACCCAAATATCCGCCATTTTGTATTTTTGACATACACTTTTTTATATTTTAATGTTTTTTACTGATTTTTATGAAACTTGGTATGCATGTTAAGGTAGAAAAGACCCGTGTTAGAAAAAAAGTTCATCTAGATTCAACCTACAATTTCAAAATGATGGCCATTAAAACATTTAAGCTTAAATTACTCAAAAATGGCTGGTTTTTTTTGAAAATATTTCAAGTACAATTTTAATTTTCTATTATTTTAATTATCCTTTAGCATTTTTAACTATCTATCAAACGATACCAAGTTCAAAAAGATCAAATAAAAAATAGCTGAAATATTATAATTTTTAGTTGTAAAAGGGGCAAACCTGACTATCTTCTACCTTATTCTACCCCATTTCAGCAATAAAAGTTTTAGCAATAAATTTTATTCAGTCTGTAGTACTGTAATAGAGAGGAGCGAAGCGAAGCTTGTTGGGATCGGCTTCAATACAAACTTCCATAGACACAAAACAAACAAAAAAAATCACTCAAAATGGCTTAACTTATTTTAGCCAAACTTTCCAAGATGCGTTGTTTCCACAAATAGGAATTCGGAAGATTTAAGACCAAACAATTTACATTTTTGATAATCTATATAAATAAAATTACAGTTTTGTCTGTAGATTGCGTAGAATCATGCAGTGTTTGGTTAATTTTACATTTCATAGCCTAAGAAAGCCGAAACGAGTCTTCTCAATTTCTGTATGTCTGTCTGTTTGTCTGTCATTGTGTCATTCTGTATGGACTCCAAAATGTTAGTTTTTACTATGAAAAAGATAAAACATTAAGTGAAAGATTTTTTTTAACAAACCATCATGAATTTTTAAAGCTTTACGTTGTTAACGTATCAATTTTTTGTGGCCTTTGTATTTATTTACTTATTTATATATTTGCCAACGGATTCACACAAATTTTACAGTTGGATTACAAGTTGTGAATTGCTCAATATGACTAAATAGCCTATAAATAAAACGAATATTAAAAGTAACAATAATAAGAATACAGTACATGCAAATACTATAACTACATGCAAATAAAATAACGACGTATATGTAAACAAAACAAAGAATCATAGCATATGTTTAAAATCAAGTTAAAATATGACCTAAACACAGTACAAAGGATAAACATTCTGATGATAGGTTGACAGGTGATGACCACTGATCAATATGGTACGGACAGTCGTAAGTTTACATTTACGTCGACATTTGATAACTACCACTGATGGAATAGGTGCATTTTATGAATTTTTGTAACTCCAATCTGGGGCGAGAGAGTTACCTTTTGTCAACAGCATATGTTTAAGCTCACATAGCTTAATCATTGAATGGCTTCATATAGGAAGGGCAGATCCAAGGCACGTATTTCACTACTCCTAATATCACATTTAGTTACAACCGCATTAGCTTTGATCTAGCATTTTATTCATCACAGTTTCCAAAAAAATAATACCCCCACCGCAGCAAACCTGCCGACTAAGTGAATTTCCAGTTGCCTGAATTGATTTTCAATTAAATGTATTGAATTAATATTAGGTTTTATGAGTACATAGGCTTGCTGCTACAGGGAGGGTAAAAAAGTGTATTTTTTTGTAAAATATCAATTACTTAGTACAAAATAAATAAATTTACCAAGTTTGATCAAAATATATCCATAAACAAGCAAACTACAACATTTTACAATATTCTCCATAAAATTCGTAGTTGCTACTTGATGTACATCCCGAAAATGGGGGATTTTGGGGAAAAATAAAAAAATTTCAAATGCTAAGCCCCATCGAGTGACGCCTCATTTTGAAGGTCGTGATAAAATAAAACTAATAACGCAAACTAGAGGTCTATATCTTAACACAGTAAAATATGGCAGCCAATTGAATATAAAATTCTAAGTTATTCTGATTTCAAGATTTCAACCAGCTTCCATTTTCACTGAATTGAGATAGAGACCTCTAGTTTGCGTTGTTAGTTTTCTTTTATCACGACCTTCAAAATGAGGGGTCACTCGATGGGGCTTAACATTTGAAATTTTTGATTTCCCCCAAAATCCCCCATTTTGGGGATGTACACCTAGTAGCAATTAGGCTCAAAAAGTACTTCATAACATGCCATAAAGGTGTGTAGAGTTTATCTTTCGTAGTTTGAGCCGTTACAAAATTTACAGGGGGTCTCCAGACTTGAAAAACTGTAAGTTAAATTTAACTTCTGAGAATTTCAAATGGCTGCCATTTTGAACTGGATTAAGATAGAGACCTTTAATTTGCGTTGTTAGTTTTCTCTTACCAGGACCTTCAAAATGATGGGTCAATTGATGGGTCTTACCTTTTGAAATTCCTGAGTTTCCCCCAAAATCCCCCATTTTTAGGATGTACACCAAGTAGTGGTTATGCCCAAAAAGTACTTCATAACATGCCATAAAGGTGTGCCGAGTTTGGTTTTTCTAGTATGGGCCGTTTAAAAATTAACAGGGAGTCTCCAGACTTTTTACTAACCCTGTACATATAGTCAATGGTAGGAACAGAAAGTGACACATTGGAAAAGCGAGTTTAGCATCATCCGTAAACATCATTCACCACTGCAGTGGTGATTTTTTACTTAACACTTTACACAACCGCCATTGAAGCGCCGTCAATGACTGGAAATCTTGTTTCTAAGCTATTGGTGACGATCATTAATAAATTTAAGTTTCCCAGCCGTATACAACACTGATTCAAGGTCTTCTTTCTGGTTACCAAAACTCAAGAACAGTTTTATACACAAAGAATCTCTGATTCCTGACCTGGATGATGCCTAGTTATTTAATTTCATTTACATTGCACTTGCGATTAATTAAATCCGTTATGTAAGTAACACGTTTTTAATCTCACTTGGTTGGGATTTGCTTTCAAAACGTGATCGAAAATGGTTGCGGTATTTGTAAACATCATATTTGTAAACATATCAGTGACAGCTAGAAAAAATAATCTTGATCTGAACAGCTGTTCGTTATTTCATAGATGATTAATCTTCTATATACATAAAATTAGAGTTTTGTCTGTACATTGCTCAGAATTATATATTTTTAGGGTATTTTTACGTTTTATACATTAAAGAAGCTGAAACAAGTCTTATCTCTATTTATGTCTGTCTGTCTGTCTGTCTACTGTCTGTCTGTAACACTCACGATGGCATTTTACGCAATATTCTCCAAGAAAACGAGAGTACCTATCAAAATCCAAGTCATTTTTATGTGTTCACTGGATTGGCGAGAGTGTCTTTAGCGATTAAAATATGATCGTCCGTAATTTTATTTACAAAGTAGTGAGGCCATATTTTAATGGCTCTCGGTTTAAAAAATACAGATCTATTTCAAGACTTTATTTACTCACTTTATATGAATTTGAACGGTTGGTGATTTTTGACTTAAGGGACCTCAAAACGAAAAATAAATCGGTCCCAGGTCCAGGTCTTACGATAAGTACTACGGTAATAGCTTATTCTATGTATGGGAAATTCGCTAAAACACAGCAATTTTGAAACAGGATCATATTTTTTTATGATTATTTTTCCTTAAATACATTATGACGTATTAAAACTGTATACCAAGTTTCATAAAGATATCTTAAATAGGTTTCGAGAAATATCTCATTAAAAGTTCATTCACTAGTTGAGTTCATTCAAATTCAAATAGAATCCCACGGCGCCACTCGAGGAGGAAACGCTTCGCGTCTTCCGCTACAGTGGCGCGGCAATACAGCCGCATCATGAAACAGCGCCTAGCGCAGATCCAGCTGACCGTCTGCATTAAAGTATTATATTGTCTGTGCTAATAACTATTTACCGGTGTGTAGATTAAAATCTCTGGTTTCTTCTTCATAAGTTTACATGAGTTCCTTAGACATACGTTTAGAGAAAGTTATATAATCTCAGAGTATGATCCCCTTTGTATAATTTCTTTGACAATTTGGGACTGATTTGTAATCGACCAATGGTGTAATCAGTGTTTCTTCTATGTGTAATCATAGACAAATAGAATAAAATATAGACTGTCAAAGGAAGGTTCTGCGATGTGTCGTTTGTTTTTCGATTCGCTGCCGTCGTCGGCTCCTCACCGTATGCTATCAGCAGACGCTGCAGCGGTGTACTCCGTAACAACATGACAATCCTAGCGGTTTGCGCCAGAACTTATTCTAATCGCAGCACAGCTGACAGTCTATATTTATTCTATTTGTCTATGGTGTAATTTAGTCAAACCTTAAAAAACAAGGGCAGATGTACCGGTAGGCTATTCATTACGTTAAGATTTTATATTCTAATATCATTACCCTTATCTTATTTATTAGCCTATATTATTCATTTCTGGTATGTATCAAAATAATCTTTGCAGATGGAAACAATATTGTTAAGTCTTAATGCGTAGGTTTTTGCGGCTGCTATCATTAGAATCTATGGTGGCGGTTTTCAGTGTTATCAGTTGTAGATGACTATCAGACATTTTGCCTTTACTATGAAGTGGAGTGTTTTAATTATATATTATTTTGTATTAAACACGCAAGAAAATTTGTTAAGCTTGTCTTTATCAGCCTTGTACCTAGTTGAATAAATCCAGCATAGTACGCTGATGTGAATTCTTTATTTCGTCCAACATGCCAACTTTTTGACCAAGCTTAAGGGCCCTTTCACACAAGGCCACTGGTTACCGGCCGCAGCTTAACATTGTTTTAAATAGGGGTCTTCAGATGCGGCCACTGCAGTTGCCCGCCACAGTGGCCAAACAGTGTCTCCTGGCACAACTCCTAGGGGGCAACCGCAGTGGCGTAACTCGTCCCTGGGCATTGAATTAAATGGGAGACTCCAGACGAAGCCGCTAGTGGCCGCCACTACTGAACCGCGCTCATCAACTATTTTGGGGTAAACAGTCAGTTCACGGGCAGAGAAAACACACTTGTGCTAGTTGTGGAGTGGTTTTGTATTAAACTGTTCATTTTTTTAACTTAAAACACTGTTATAACAATCATCATAACGGTTTTTATAACTTAAAAGTTCATCAAATGCCTTTTTTGACATCCAAAAATAGTTTAAAAACTTATTTTGTCTGCACACAGTTTGTCAAACAATGTGTAATAAAGGCAAATGTCCTTCCTGGAGGAATATTATGAACATGGCAAGCCGCCGTCTTCCCCTTCTTTTCTTGATTAATAACACGAGAAGAAGGGGATGTCCATTGCTCATCAGCATTTTCTCAACTAGTTGTTCTGTGGCTAATGGTGGAGTGGCTTGTCAGTTGCCTGTACCATAAATTGTAGTTTCCCAGCCGGTAACCGGTGGTAGCAACTACTGTAGTGGCAGACACCAGTGGCCTTATGTGAAAGGGCCCTAACTTATTGTCAACTAGTAAATTTTATATCACAACAACTAATAAATAAAATAAATACTAAACAACAATAGAAATACTAAACAACAATAGGATTTTTGAGATTGGCCCTCTCTGCCAGTGGTTCATTCAACTAAGGCCACGCTAAATAAACAGGCCCTAATGCTCCTCTGGCATGACACCATCATAGGCGATGGCAATTACGTAATGCTTGCCATTTGTGATCAGCTGCTTGTTTTAATCTTTACTTGGAAAACAAAAATATAACTAAAAAAATAGCATTGTACGTCATTGCTGTCGCCTATGGTGATGTCATGCCTGAGGAGCATTACGGCCTGTTTTTTCAGTGTGGCCTTGATAGATGACGGCAATGACGTAATGTTTGCCGTTTGTGATCAGCTGCTTGTTTTAATCTTTCATTGGAAAATAAATAAATAAATACCTACGTCATTCCCGTCTTCTATCTTGACGTCATGCTTGACGAGCATTACGGCCTGTTATTTTTAGTGTGGCCTTGCCTTGATTCAACTATTTTTTTTTCAATAAAAAATATCTACACAGCTGATCTGTGTACATGGGATGTCTACTTGTTAAGGTTTGGCTACACTAGACAGGGAATGAAAGGGAACAATACTAACTAATTGTGGCGCTTGTTCTACAAGAGATGGGACATGTGAAAGGAAACGGCCAGTAACAATTTCCGACTGAGCATGCATTGCATCTAACCAGAAAGTTCTTTTCCGTGTCCTATCCTACGTAGTTTAGCCTAGCGCTAGAGGAAGAGACACGACACAAAGTTCAATAGAACCAGATTCTACAATTGTTGTGGCGTGGTGTGTTGTTTCGCCACATGTTGTGTCCTTTATTGTGTAGCATCTTCTATTTGATAACATAAAGGGCATCGGAAACATTTCTGTCCATTCCCTTTCCTGTATTGTGTAGCCTAAGGCTAAGCAAACTTCAACGATTGAACCTAATCTAACTGCTGGTCAACAGATGGAGTACTGTGATGAACAGGAACGTCTCATTGAGACGGAGGATGCGGATGGAGGTTGGGTGGATACTCACGGCATGGACCCTACGTCCTCCGGTCTCGACGACAAAGTCTCCGAGATGACCATTGAAGATGTCACCGTAAGTAATAGCCTCTGTCTTATCTTCAACTGCATAAGCAACAAAGTTATCTACTTGGTAGTTAAAATGTTTTTTTTTATTTATGAAGTAGGTAATCCTTAAACAAATATTTTACTGTCAAAAACTCCTCAGTAATCCAAATTAAAAATTATATTGTGATGAAAATTAAAGTATTCCTACCTGACAAAATATTTGGGGGCGACAATGCTTCTACTCTTATGTTGTAGGCCTAAACTGTTTTACCCATGGCCATGTTAAGCCTGTGCAGAGATTTTTGAACATTCTTATATCTTTAATTTTTATTTCTTTTGAAATATATATTTTTTAGGTAGGTAATCCTTTTCAAATAAATTTATTTAAGTAAAGTATTTTTTTTTTCCTAAGACGCTAGGCACGAGCCCTGAATTGTTTTTAACATTACTTCAGGCTAGACCTAGGGGTTACGGCAATATCACTTAGATAAAATCCATTGGTGATTTGGCGGGGTTTGAACCCGGGACCCCATTATCCGAAGTCCCGTGCTCTAACCACTAGACCAGCTCGCTCTCCCAGTAAGTAAAGTATTAAAAATAATAGGTTATCCACTCCTAAATAAACTGGTGCCTCTGTGTTTAACTTTTAAGGTTTTAAGGTTAATATTTGATCTATCTCAATGCAGTTTGTTATTGTTGTTTTATTTTCATTTTGGTGTAGTCTCAAGTCACCACATATGAATAAGAGGTAATTAAACTTAATTTTGTCTTGTGACTTGTATACTTTGTCTATGCAGGAACCCTGCAGCAAGAACCATAACAATACAAAAATCATATTTCACAGCACATCTTATTAATACCAATCGTAATTTTTCCGATATCAACACCAACATGAAACCTCAGCATTACTGTAACAAAGGCCGCTACATGGATGTCGTGAAGGAATATGAAATCTACAAAGCCCAAAGAAAGACCCAAGAGACGTTCCAAACAACCAAATTAGTTTGAAATCAAATGGATTATTTCTACACTATGTTCAATCTACAACTGTAATAACATAGGTTGGCAACACTCCTTCCAACCAAACTGCAGTCCGGACATGTCAACCATGCAGTGTGTATCTGTCTGTGGCCACGTAGTAGTTGAATAACCAATTATTATGTGTAAATTTTTGTGTGTGTTACTTAATCTTTTTACGACCTCAATAATAGTAACATTTTAGCGAATTTCCCTATAGGGAAGTAGCTATTACCGTAGGTCTCATGGTAAGACTTAGGCCTGGGACCGATTTACTTTTTCATTTTGATGTCCCCAGAGGACAAAAACACCATTCGTTAAAATTTTTATATATGTATATATATATATATATATATATATATATATATATATAGATTTATATATATATGTGTCCGTGAACACGATAACTTGAGTAATTTTTATCCGATTTTGATGAAATTTGGTTTGAAGGTGTAAGGCAGGATAAACTTGAATGAGTTCGCGATCCAGCATGATCGGACCATGGGAACAGGTTTTTATGGGGGGTTTTATGGGGTAAAAATTGGTTTTTCTCACTTTTGACCCTCAAAACACGAAATTTCCCAATTTTTCTCTAAACCTTCTTAAAGAGCTTAAAAAAACAAACAATTCAGTATATCAAAGTGTTTTTGTACGGTTATTAGTTACGGAGAAAACTAAAAAAATTGTAAATTTAAAATTCCCATGTTATTCTTATGGAGAATATTGTAAAATGTTGTAGTTTGCTTGTTTATGGATATCTTTTGATCAAACTTGGCAAATATATTCATTTTCTACTAAGCAATAATTATTTTACTTAAAACACACACTTTATTAGTTTCCTTGTAGCAGCAAACCTAGGTACTCGTTAAACCTAATGTTATTTAAATAGATCGATTGAAAATTAATTCAGCCAAATGGAAATTCGCTTAGACGGCAGGTTTGCTGCGGCGGGGGTATTATATTTTTGACATGGATATGAAGAAGGCGACATAGTCCCCACAACGATCTTCATCCACCCTTAGAGTATATGAGTAACGAGACAACATTAATGCAAACTTATCTATGTTATTGTTGTGTAGGATTCACCACTCAAGAGGCCCAATGCAGTGGAGAACGACGATGAAGATGATGACGACGAAGAAGCAATAGATATGGAAAATTTTGAGGAAAGTGGCATGTTGGAAATGCAAGACGAAGTGAGTTTCTTTAACTTACCTACTCAAGAAGGGTATGAAAGTCAATGAATGTCTGTCGCTTTAACTTTACTGGAGTTGCCCAAAAGTTGTTTACAAGTGTCCTGTATACATTTAGTATTTTTTTTACTTCCATACACTCTACCCATATCTCTTTTCGCACTTTTGAATCATCTCTTCTTTTATCACTCCCCTAGTCTTTTCTCCCTGGTCATACTATTCTGCATTTCCTACCAGTAGTAAAAACGTCCAAACCACAATGTAATAATTTAAACTTAATATTTATACTGCTAGTTATAATTGTAATTAGGCCTAGTTAATTAGCCATAAATGAATAAACGGTATCAGCAATCTGACACATACTTACTCCCATTAGCTTGTCAACAAGCTAGCTGCAACTACTTTTGAACCATAGTTGTACAGAAATTAGGGTTGTGACATTTTGTTTGGAGTCAAAAGGATCATACAGACGATCATGCCGTAACCGCGAGTAATACCGACGATCACCCCGTGACTGCGGAGTCATACCGACGATCGCCCTGTGACCGCGGAGTCATACCGACGATCAAGATGTGACCGCGGAGTCCACCGACGATCACATCGTGACCGCGGTCATTTTGACGATCGCACCGTGACCGCGAGTCACAAGTTTCTATAGGTACCTGTAAATTGTTACCCATTTTTTGGTTTTTATAGATCTGTGCCACAAACGGTAAAAATTGATTTCGTATGTCTTTTTTGGTAACTGCAATATTCAAGACTTTCTTTTTATGCATAGAAAAAAATCCCGTCCCGTCCCGAAAATCGGGAAGGAAATAAAAATCCCGTCCCGTCCCGTCTCGAACTAAAAATTCAATCCCGTCCATCCCTAGTTATAGGTGAAGTTTTACAGTAATTTAATGTATTGTAACAGTTTTCTATATGTCTAAAACCAAACACTTGCATTATAGATTTACTACTTAGGCCTAACTATTAATGGTGTAACATCTAGTAAATCATTGAGTGTAATTTTTACTTCAGTAAGATCATTGTTGAAATTATATATTATTAATACTTTGATTTGATGACAATTACAATTTAAAGATATAGAATCATAAACTTTCATGTTAAAATATTCATTATTGCCAGTTGCTAAATGAATTTTGATTTACAGGCAACATACGATGTTCGCAAGGAAAAACTGAAAAACAGAGATTGCGAAGACGGAGAAATAGTGAGAACTAGAACGTACGACCTTCACATAACCTATGACAAGTACTACCAGACGCCTCGGTTGTGGCTCTTCGGCTACGACGAGGTATGTTTAGAAAATAATTTTCTTTTTGTGTCAGAAGTAGTAGAGGGCAGCTTCGTAAAACCTCACAAAGGTAGGACAAAGGATAGTCAATGCTTCTACTGTACTGAAATGTCTTATAGCCACTGTGAAGAAGCAATTCACAGTAATAAAGAACCATCTGTTGTAATTCTAAGAGAAAGATTTCTTCTCAACCCACTTTGATTGTTTTAACACGTTAAGTGCAGGCATCATCAATAGATGATGTCCGACACTAGCACTGGTGGTGGACATCAGCTAAAGCTGACGTCATGCCACTCTCTCCACATTAGTTTAGTGTGAGCTCAGCCATTGCCGGGGAACGTTATAATCGTTGCCAGCCTGTAGCTTAGATTATTTAAGCTTTAGTCTGGTGTAGGTTGGTACTAAAATTTCCCGTAAAATCCTGTCTAGCAATACTTTTGTCCCGGTTCCGGCAATTTTCTCTTTTCAAGCCACTTTACAAAGACACTGGCTACGAATCCAGGCAGTGCTGCTACCTTTGGGTGTTTCAGTGAACTACGTCCACTCTCGGGCTAACACAGCACAATCACCGCTGCTCTTTTTTTATTCGTCAGACTGAAATATTTGAATGCCAATTGCGTTCACCGATTCAGTTGCGCTGCGGGGCTTCGCCCGGGCCTCGCCGCCATTATCGAGCGCCTGTTTGAAGTTATGCCGCACTGAACGTGTTAACTAGAATCATGGTTGTGACATGCTTGGGTCTTGCCAGTAGACAAAAGGAAACTATCACAAATCTCTGTATAATTCTATTAGTTATTGCCATTGGACTAGATCTTATGGTGTTACACTTGATGTTGACAAGGTGAAAAGCTGGGCTTTCTTTAATTTGGAGTGCATAATATATGCTTACATTTAAGATTTTCTTCTGACTCCGAGTGACTGTCCCCCTGAGGAGGTGGCGCATCACTGAATAATGTGTTAATGTCCATTAGCTGTGTTTCAAGTTTAAAAGCTCTACCTTTATTACTGAAATATTTTACCGTCCCGGGACCTTTTCCTCCCTGTATGAAAGTTTTGTTGTTAAGCCCCCTTGAGACAGGGCCAGTACCAGTAGTGGCGGCCATTAAACTGTCACTGATGACTGACAGTCGTTTCTTTTCAAGTCGAGTGAGCACATCTTTGTGTTGTGGTGTCATAGACGATGCTAGTTGTTAATTCAGAACATGAAATTGCTGTTGGATGTTTCATTGAAAAACTTGAAAGCTAAAAGTGTGTGTTTCGCAAAATTTTATCTGCCTTCCATTTAAATTTTTTTTTACTTTTGGACCTTTATTTTCATCAAACATTTTAATTGCGCACCCAACCTTTCTCACCACTGCCAGCCATGACTGGAGGTGCCCTCTCAGACCCGGCCGGCTCTAGGTCACTTGACTAGCTTAGTAGAGGTAAGGTGGCCATAAGCATATGTTTGCTTTTAGTGGTCACCAATGTTTTAATGAATCTAGTGGCCTTCTCCGTTTGGAAAACACCCATCAAACGAAACCACATTGGCAGCCATCAATGGTTTATACTAGTGGCCCCGTCTGCAGAGAGTGACTGCCTGAGCTTTGAAGGGTTGAAATGCATGATTACGTTGTTTGCAGAACCGCAAGCCACTGAAGGTAGAGCAGATGTACGAGGACGTCAGTCAAGACTATGCCAAGAAAACAGTAACTATGGAGTCTCACCCCCACCTGCCTGGACCTCCCATGGCATCTGTACATCCCTGCAGGTACTCATCAAACAAATTCAGTCAAACAACACATGTAAACACATCAAACACATTCAAACACTAACACTTTCAGTTCCGGTCCAGTGCTACGATCACCAAAAGAAGATTATGCTTGTCAAATCAAGTGCAGTTGTCTGGGCATAGTGATTATGGTTTTCTCTAGTTTCGAAGAAACGTATACCAGAAACAAACAATAATTTGTAAACACAACATTTACTAAAAATTTTTAAATTTTTGATAAAGTATCTTATCATGAATGATTCATTAGTTATTAGTTTACATAAAGATCCTAATTAATTATCCAAATACAAGATTGTCTGAAGAAAATATACTTTCTCTTGTTTTTCACATGAGGCCAGTAGGCAGGGCCTTAGGTAACCTGAAATACACTAGAGGCAGGTAACTGCCTTGTAACACACCTGCCTAAAGGCCTCGTGTGAACACAGCTTTGTGAATCAAATCTGGTAAACTATCTACACATTCCAATATTCTTAACAATTTTTTTTTATTCCAGACATGCTGAAGTGATGAAGAAAATAATCCAGACAGTGTTGGAAGGAGGAGGTGAACTGGGCGTTCACATGTATCTCATTATTTTCCTCAAGTTTGTCCAATCAGTCATACCCACCATTGATTATGACCACACTAAGAATTTTACCATGTGATCTATCAAACTTTTGGTATTTTTATATGCTGAAGCACTATGTGTGCATTCCATTAGTCTAAGAATCAAAGTAACCAATACTCTTTAATTCTAGCTTTACCTTTTGTTATCTTGCGTAAAAACGCTTTTAAGTAAACTGTATGTAAACATTTTTTAAAGAATTTTCAGTTTGCATCAGCAGGTAATTCTGTAGTAGGGAATTCTGCTTATTTATTTGAGTTGTAATTGTACTTAAAAGAGTGGTACACATCGAACAAGACTTTGTAATTGCTGTCAGTATACAGGGTGTTCAATAAAGGCGGGACATTGTTTTTGTGGCGATTCCTTGGGTCAAAATAAGCAAAAAGGTTTATGTAAACATATGTCCTATATTGTTTCTTTTAAGGTCTGTCTGTCTATGTTTTTTTTTACAAAAATACATCCTTTTAAGGGTTTAAGCTAAAGCGTTGAGATAGATGCTAAAAGAAAGGAGAACACCATTTGTATTATTTTGACCCAAGGAGTCACTAGCATACATAAATTATGCCCCACCCTATATTCTATTACTATTGTATGAACTAATTATATTTTTGCATTTTTGTCACTATCTATTTTAGCTCAACTAATCAATTGGCTTCTTTAAGAGTTGTGAAATCGGTGTACATAAACCAATGTAAAAAGAACTAATTGTGTCTTGTGTGTGCCGCTGCCAATTTAATGTGAGGAAGAACAAGTTTTATGATACTGCTAACTACGCTAATCAGATCAAGTTTTGCTCGAAAACCTTCAAAGTCTGTTGTTACAGTAACCAAATTCTTGTTGTTTAGTCATAATGCATTGCAGAAAGTAACACTTTTGTTATAAATTCGAGAATTTTAACAGCAAATTATTCAACTGTCAACTAAACCTAGTAATTTTTAAAATTACATTTGGCTGTATCTTATTTATTTACTTATTCTTCCTATGCAAATCTGATGTGCAGATGGCCATAACACTATTTGAAACAAAGCTAATAGACAAGTGCTCGTCAATGTCAATTTTTTATTACTAATATCATTTGCCTCAGTAAATTATTCACTTAAAGAGATTTCTTATTAGTCCACACAATTAAGACCGAATAGAGGAAACAATTCATGTTGTTTAAGGGCCCTTCCCCTACATATGTACCAAATTTGGCTTATACATGAATTTTGTCCTCTATTTGGTCTTTTTGCCTGGACTACATGATCTTAAGATATCAGAATTTAATTAAACAATGAGACATTTCCTGCTTAGAGCTCTAATATCCACATAATCTACCCACCAGAATTAGACTGCTTGATAAATAGCCAACGTTTAGTTTATTTATTTTTATCAAATATATTCAGTATTTTGTAACTTTTTTAAATGTTATTTTACTATCTTTTATCTTACAATATTAGTAATTATTATTTTATTTCAAATATTGCACTAGTGTTTTAATGATAATAATTATCTACGTCATTATTATTAGTATATACAACATTAAAATAGTCATACAGTCTTTCAATAATAGTTAAAATCAATGCTATTTTTTATTATTTGCTTGACAATACATACTCAATAATATAATTGCTTGCAACACAAAGCAGTGTATGCCTTTGCAAATTGTTACATATTGCGAGATTGAAAATTCCGTAATGAAATAAGGGAAATGTTGGTCTTGATATTTACAGTGTAGTTTAATTATTTGTGGGACTTTTAGTGTTGTTTTTAAGATTTTTCTGAATATATATTTACAATTTTCTCATTTTCTCATTTTGCTTAGGTATTGATTGTAGGCCTAACGCAAACTAAGAAGTTTTTATTTGTCACAGAAATTTGACAACAATTCTAGTAAATTAAAAAAGTGTGTGCAGTTGGATCTATTACATCGTTTTACAAAGTACTTACCATGCTGTAGATTCAACACTAACATTGATTTAGCCACATTTGGTGGAAATAAAAAACCCATTCAAATATTGTATCTGGATGAAATTGGGAATCTTATAATGAGTTATTTTATTGTTGGTAAACTTAACTACGTTTCCAGAAAGGATGTTGAAAGATTAATCAAATGTATCAATTATTGAGGTGTCTTAAATGTTGAGTCTTGTGTGTTATCAGTTTGATTTTAATGTTTTTAATAGTGAATGGCATTTAACAAATTATTGCAGACATTTTCAATCAAAATAAGTAAAATAGTATATTATAATTGAAGTAGAGACTGTAAAATGATTTAGGATAGAAGAAATACCCCTAAGGATTAAATAATTAACTTTTCGCTACACTACTGTGAAATAACCTGTTTTTGTTACATGTTTAACATCTGCGAAAATGCATCATTACATTGTTTACTACAGCAAAAGAATGTTTACTATGCTAAAGTAATGTTTACTATCTTTTTTGGATTTTGTCGACGTAAGCAAATAAAGATTTGTTGTTGTTTTGTCAACTGTAAAGAAAACATTACCTAAAAATGCTATGAGCTTTGTCATGTTCCTAATTGGATTGAACCTGTATATTTTAATGAAGAATATAAGTAGTCTTTGTGGTGTAGCGCAAAGTACCTTTCAAAACACGAGTGAAAGTGGGTCTATACATATTCTCAACCATTTATAGTTATCGATAAATCTCACACTTCAAACATGGGTCTCAAATATGTAATGACCCACCTTTATTCTTGTTATGAAATGTACTATATCCCCACAATACATGTATTGAAAACAACTGTTTCCTCTGCAGTATGACAAAATAGTTAATTTCGTCACTAGGGCCCAAAGTGACTCTTTTTGTGCTGAGCTCTAGTTCACAACCAAGATGAAGCCAATGTTGTGAAATGAGCATGGGTTGAAAAGAGGCTTTTGACCATGTGATGAACTATATTATACATCATACTACATTGTTGTTTAAGCCAAATAATTCATAGAACGTAATTTTTGTAATTTTTTACCGGTACCTTAAATAGTCAGCTGACAAATGATTACCTTCTTGTGTTGCTATTACAAACAGCTCTTACGTGACCGCATGCCTCTTCATGCACTGCAACTAACTTCCAGCTGTTACGTATCATTTAAGCTGCCATATCTCGGTTAATATTTGTCCAATCTTAAAGATTAAGGTGTCAATCGATTTGTAATTCAATTGCCTTAAAAAAGTTATTCTTGTAAAATTGTTGTAAAATCAACAGTTTTCGAGTTATTTAAAAAACAAAATTATAAATGGCCGCCATTTTGTTTTATGAATTTGGAAAATTGTCATAATTTTTTTGTAGTTTTCTCTAGTTTTTATAAATGTCTGTGCAAAGTTTTAATTTTGTATGTTGAAGCACTTTTCAGAAAAAAAATTAATAAGTTAAAACAACAAATGTGAGTAACTAAGGACTTCCGGACAATTTAAATATGATATTTTGATATGTTTATTACCCAGGAACAATGCCCTAAAATATTGGTAGAGCGTTCCGGGACACCCTGTATATATGATTCCGCCAACACAATAATAATAACACAATCAAATGTTTATAATTACACAGTACCATATTTGTAAGGACTAATTTCAATGGCAAAATCAGCAGAAGAATGTTAAACATATAAAAATGTGACTCCAGCTGATTATTTATCTCCATTGGGGGAAAGAGAGATTCTTTAGCCCGCCACGCAAATATTCAAAAATAGCCGTTTTTTCTGTAGTATGACAAAAACAACTTTTCCTGACATCCAGGGTCAGATTGCAAAACACGTTTTAACAATAGTAATGGGAAATGTCTGCAAAAATTTTATAAAATTACCTACATAAATTTGTCATTAACCATCCATGAATCAAAGCTCAGTGTGATTACGGTATTAAATAGTTTATGTTACGATGTAAACGTGTTTGGTATAGTGAGCTATTTTGTTGCACAATTGTTTCCTCATTCAGTTTTACAATAGTCATCACTTGTACAGTTTGTTGTTTTTTTTGCTTGTTTGTGATAAAGTTGTGATCTTTGAGGTGCCACTGTTTGAATGAAATATATTTAGTTAAACTGCCGCTTGAAAAATGTTTCTTCCGAACCCACTAAACTTTTCCTAAATTTTCTGATGAGATAACCTTACAAATAACTGACTTATATACTTAAGCACTTGATGTAAATTTAGTTACTTCCAAAAGATGTTTTGTTGTGGTACATTAATATTTTAATACAAAAAGTTAGTCATTTCATCAATCGTATTATTTCAACTTAGATAGGTCCTTGAAACATATCAAAATCCGAAATGAACATTTAGTCAGTGTGATATGCAAGGTTAATTGAAACAGGATTTTAAAAATAGTCAGGTCACCTGCAGTTTCTAGCACATTATCATCTATTTTCAGTTATATTTTATTCAGTAGCTAAAATCAATTGTAGAGAAGAATAGATAAATAAATGATTGTTCAATACTGAATGTAAAAAATAGTGGATATTTTTATATTATGCAAACTTATCAGTCAAGCTAAGTTTCAGATTCGGAATAAATGTAAACTGAATGTTTATTTGTAATAGCTGGGACATTACGTATGTGCACTTTGAACAACACCTTAGCTTTCATAAATGGCCTACCGGTAATGTCTTATAGATACAACACAGTAGACCTACTCTTATTGCATTGATTAAAGCTGTATAAAAAGGTTCTCTATTGCACCATAAGTGGTATAAAAAATAAAGGCAACAATTTTTATTGAATCTGAAATTTAATAAAATGTCTATTCTTTGAAAAATTGCCTGAAATGAAGTAAAGTACTGTATCTGTACTTTTTTACTGTCTGTATTATTCCTGAAGATCATGTTGTTTCTTTGCCTGAACCAATTTTTTCCACTGGTGCAATAGACCCTTAGTGTCTTCGAGCATAGGACTTAACATGTTGAAGATTCTTGATATCGTCTCAATGCAAGGAATAACCGCAAAACTCAAGAACTGTACTTGATTTTCAAAAAGCATATCTTTCTTGTCACGATCCATAGTTGGTATTGGCACATATCCCATTTTCTTTTCCATATCTCCCTGCTGGAAGAATTCTTCATAAACGTCTTCTGTAATTTTTCTACTGATCGGCATCGGCTTGGTTTGGCCTGAAAGATCACAAAGGGTCATGATCAAGCTCATCACGAGTTGTCTATGGCTGGGATCTTTGAAAGTGAATGATTTCTCATCAGCGATTCTCATCAGCTCCATCCTACACTGGAAGTAAAGAGATAAATCAGTCGCAATAATGTATTTGTAGATGCTAGTCAGAAGTGTGTCATAGATCTCAGGCTTGAGGTAGGAGAACATCGCACATTTTTGTATAATCATCTTGGCCACTGTGAAATGGTGGTTTTCAAGAGGCGAGGAAGCATACAAGCTAGACAGATAGTGTTTGGTCAACTGTACAAAGTTGTTTGTATATCCTCGGTGGTCAAGGTCGTGGCACAAAGCTGCCACCATCAGGCCCTTCCGTTCCAGACCGTTGAAGTTGAAGTGATAGCGAGAAATTATATTGGCCATAGTGTGAGTAACAACAAAGGCGTGTAGGAAATTGTGATATGGATTGGGCCTGTAGCACTTCTGAACAGTTAGAATAAATTTTGGCACATTATTTTGTAACATGAAAGAGTCACCAAGAACTTCATGAAACATACTAATCGTAATTTCAGCCAAACGTGGCATATCATCTGGCGCTGGATACCAGGCAAAAGTGAAAAAGTTTTCTGGTAAAGGTACTGGAGTTCTTTTCTTTTTAAAGGCCTCTTGATCGTGTGTGCACGGTTTAATGTGGTAGTTTAACATATCTTTCACTATATTGTTTTGTATTTCAGCTTTTTTAGCATTATTGTGAGCTTTGTTGTGGTGATATTGGATGGAAAAGAAACTAGAAAAAGTCATCAAAGTTTTTTCATCATCTTTGTTGAAGTTTTCCGCAGAACGCTTATTGATCAACCGTATTGCTCCAAGTACTTCTTTGCAGGTACAAAGGATTGGAACACACAACATTGATTTGACAGAGGACTCCATCTCGTGAATTTTATTACCAACAACATTGAAAATCTCCTTTTCCATTAAAACTTTGTAAAGATACGAATCTTGGTTTTTAACAACTTTATTGGTATATTTTTTCACCATAATTTTCATCTCTTCTGATCCCTGTTCGTATTCTTCTACCACACAGTAGTCTTTAGTCATTTTAACTATCAAATAGAAAATGCAATGTTCCGCATCAATGGTTTCTCGAGCAAAGACAACAATATCTGAGAACGCACTCTCTTTGTCAACACGATCACAGTGATAATGAAAACTCAGTTGTTGCAAGCAATATGTCGTCTCATATTGTCTTTCCAGATTATCGTAGATGGCTTTCTGAAGAATGCCTGCTCCCATCCACCCAGTCACAGCGAGGATCATTTGTTCATCTTTCTTCTCAAAAGGAATTGAGAATCCATCACGGTTCAATTCGTAAACAGCGATTAAATCGTCATTGGGTGTTTTTATAGGCACTCCCAAGCCAAATTTGGCTAGGGGATACGGAACACTTAAGCCTAGGGGAAATCTAGAATCTGAAAGCAAATTTTTTGACACTATAAGTTCCCTTTTAAAAGCAGCATATGCAGCTAATGTTGTGCCTTCTTCAATCTTCAAAATGTCGTGCTTTTCCACACAAAGCTCCTTGGGACAATAATAAATCTCATTTTTTGCTTGATCTGCTAAATAAACAGAAACATTCCTTGCATTTATGAGGTTCCTCAATGTTTCTCCTGTTTCAACAATGGAAGAGACAAGTTCTGGATTTTGTGTTACATCTGGCACGACAGTAATAACCTGCTCTTTTGACTTTATAGGCACCATTCCTTCATTTTTTGGAGTTTTCTTGACTGATTCCATCTTTTTTTTTTGATCCTTGTGAAGTATTTGGAGGTACGGAGCAAGCGCTCTAAGAGTTGCTTTGTTACTCGTCAAGTGTTTCTTGAAATCTTCCTCATCTTGGGAAAGACCTTCAAGGCTGGTTTTGAAAAGTGTTGCATCCGGGTAACATTGAGGCTCCAGCAAATCTTCTTCCTCTCGAAAGTCAATGCTCCCCTCATTTGTATTACCATACATGTTATTATTGCTCTTTTCTCTTGCACTTTCCATAATTCTAGCTGATAGATAATTAAATAGTTATTTAAAAGTCTCTAAACTAAATTTAAATCTAAATCAAAAGTATTCTAAAAATATTCTATCGATTTTCAGTTAAAAAATTGATATTCAACAAATTATTAAAATCATTTGTTTATTTAACAACTTTTGAAGTTATGTTATGAGGATGGTTCCAACTATAATCAGCTGTTTTTACACTTAAACCACATGTTGTTATTATCTAGCTAGAGGATTTGTCATTCTACAGCCCTGTTGCAGCAAACCTGGGTACTCAGCAAAACTGACAGAAGTGTGAGTGATCAACAGGTTTGTAAACCAATCTGATAAGAGTATAAATAAACACACATCACAACAGAATCCTATAAACAGTGTTTATTAATATTACGAGTAGAAATATTCTATTTTGATTTTTGATCATTTACAAATTGATCCTTGACAGATCTTACTTGATATCGAACATGGAACACTCCTCCACGAGATTGCTGGAACTTTTAATTCAAAAAGTTTGTCATCCCTACTTTACAGAAGAAATGTTTTCATTGAACGAGAGTTTTTATGATAACTGTACTGGAGTTTCTATAAAAGAAGCGAGTATTTTCCACCAAGTTTTTGTTCAGACAAGTTTGTTGGAAGCTTTCTCCAGTTCTGATCCAAGTTTTACAACTGATAAGACATGATTTAATTCTTAAAGAGCTCATAAAACTGTTTCTAAGATTGATATTGATATTATTATTGTGATGATTATTATTGATATTAATATCATCAAAATGTACAGTTGGTTGAAACTTTGTAATTTGTTTAACAACTACCGTAAACATGTTATGTCACTCCAACAAGGACTCCAACAATTGTTTTAAAAGGAATGACATACTGAACTGGAAAGCTTGGAAAATTGAAAGAATATAGGAGAAAAGGAATATTACCATAATCATCAAACACTTATTGTATGAGATTCTGATTCATTCTACAGCTGCAGGAAAAATCAAATCAGCTGACACATTTTTTTTAACTAGAACACGTTACCAAGCCTTGCTCAGTAAAAATTTGTGTTTGGTGATTAAAACAATACTAGGTGTACAATGCAGTTGTCTGCTTGCATTATTGAGCGGAGCAAGCATATTACAACAATACTTTGATGGGTCGGGTCCTTAGTAATCAGTCAATGCTGGATCTGTTTCTCATAAATGAGATATCTACTTGCAGTATCTATCGCAAGTACAAGTTATTTGGTCCACATAAATGGAATATGTGGAGTATCTGAAGTAAATGGTGCATTAGCCTAATTGGTAGCATTTTGTAGTAATCTATGCTCAAAGGTTACAATCCGGTTGTTATTCCCTTTTGATCTGTAAGTAGGTAATGTGATTTAAGATTATTTATCGATAACATATGTTACAAATCTTTTGTTTACAACTTTTTTGTTATCTTGCATTTTGCATAATAATGTCATGGCGACCAACAATCCCATACCTATAAGGCCCGTGTACAATTTTTAAAATTTTAAATTCACTCAGAGAAAAGCCTTGTAGTCCGATTTCGTACCAATTCAGATTTATACCTCCTATTTATAGGTACTTCGACTGCGCTAAATTTCGTGCCAATCGCTTCAGCCGTTCATTGTAGTATTTAGAACTCCGCTCGTTCCGCTATAATTTACACAACACAACCGTTTTTTACAACAAACCATGAACATTTAACGGGGAAAGCGTTATGACTCTGCTGTAAAAAAATCAATAAAATGAAATTGAGATAAATATATATAAAATTACGTTAAAGTGGTACTTGCATAAACTTTCTCACCTGTAGTCATCACCTATTGTCATTTTTTACACTCACAGAACACAGTCGATGAAAATTTTAAAACAAAGAAAACCATATTAGGCTACTGTAGTTTCAAAATGACTTTTTTACATAATGTAACCAAAAGTCTACGCATCTCGCCGGTATGTTTAGGGTTAACAGCAATAAATGATCAATGTTGAGTTATTACTTTTTAAGAAATTGAGCTTTTGTTATTTTATTGGTTTTTTGGCATATTATTTTTCTTCCAATTGGTTTTCCTTAATATACAAAATTTACTTTAAATATTTTTGTTATTATAATTTGGCTCAACATATATCTATAAATTTGCTCAAAATATATTTATTGGTATCAAAACAGCCAATCAATTAAACATGTAATTTACAAAACCAACACACAATTGGCTATATAGCTCGTAGTAGAGTGGGCTTAAGTTTTAATGAGTATAGTGATTAGCTGCTACAGGGAAGGTACTGAAGTGTGTGTTTTTTTTATTAAAATGTAAATAGCTCAGTGAATTAAAGACTTTGTTATATTTTATAAAATATATCCTTAAACAAACAAACTACATTATTTTACCTTTTCCCCATAATTATAACAAGGAAATTTTATGTTTACATTTTCTTAGAATTTCTCCCGTAACCATTAGACGTACAACAACGCTTCAACATAATAAATTATTTGGTTTTCAAGCTCTCTAAAATGGTTTTGAAAGAAATTGCAAATCTTAATGTTTTGGGGGTAAAGATAAGGAAAAATTAAATTTTAGCCCATAGAACCCTCCATAAAACACTGGTCCCATGGTCCAATCATCGTTAGAATAAACGTTTACACAAATTGTATCAAAATCGGTTAACATTATTTCGATCCACATTATTACCTGCAATATCTTAATATGTGGTGAAATTGTTGAGCTGAACATACAAATACTACTTAGTTGGTAATTTTATCAATGCATGGTTCAATGATATTTCTAAATTTTATATTCAAAATTCCTTATATTGTACGTGTGTGGCTATCTTTACTTAAGAGTTTAATTAAAATAAATAACCAATGCTATCATTAATAATTAAGCTACACTTCTCAGAGCGGGAATGTTGCTGAAAATCAACAGTCCCGGAAGATCAAATAAGTTATACCTGTGCCGCTAGGTCAAAAACTACAATGTTTGCAGTGTCTGTAGATCAAAAGTCCCAGTAAGTCAAATAGTACAGTCCGAGCTAAAAACGTGGTCTATGTTAAAGCAATTGACTTATTGGGAATTTGACCTAATGCAACAGCAGTTTTAATATAACGAAATACGGTAAAATACAAGTTCAGTTTCGCTGAGTCAACAGTGCCGGAAGATCAAAAGCAATAAAAGTGAACGTCGATTCAGTGTAAAGTAGACCTCCTGCAACGCTTACTACACCAACAAAACTTGCTTTTAGTTACTTCGTGTTTTGTCATAATTAGAATAGAGCTAAAATTATCATATTTGGTACATAGCTTATCTATTAATGCGTCTTGCCAACTGTTTCTTGTCTTGCCAAAAATGACTTCCGGTGTACATTTTACATCATGTAGCTCCTAAACGAGTAAGTTTAGAGCAAAATTGCAAAAAGTATATTAGTCTTAGAATTGCATCTTCATTCCTTAAAGACTATAAAATAAAAAGTTTTCCACTTTTCAAGTTTGCCGCCATTTTTTTAAATAATATAATTTATATTTTTAATTAATTTTATGGTCTTTTTGGAATGTGGATGCAATTGTAAGACTTTTTTACTCCTCGTATTTTTGCTTTAAACTTACTTGTTTAGGAGCTACATGATTTAATAAGTACACCGGAAGTCATTTTTCCATAGGCTGTAACTCCTAAACGAGTGGGTTTATCGAAAAAATGTCAAGGATAAAAAAGTTTTAAAATTGCCTATTATGTCCGAAAACATGATAAAATATGGGTGCTCGGTAAGAAATTTCAAATTTGGCCGCCATTTTGGAAAATGGTGGCTGAATTTCAAACGACTAAAATCATATTTTAAACTGCCAAAAAAAATGAAGGAATGTCCTCCATTTTAGGTTTTCTCTAATTCTTACCGTTTCCGATATTCCAATGGTGGCCTCCTTCACCCTGTATAGCCTATATTTATTTATTTATACGTTTTTCCCGGGGGGAACCCCAGGACCCCCTCCTTTTTGGGGGGTATTCCATACCCCCCAGGCCCCTGGTGACCCCCCCCCAAATATATGTCTAGGAGCGCCCTTGTCTTCTTTACCTATAAAACACATGGGATACAGCCTTTTCTTCACTGATCACGTAATGCGTGATTTTCTATAAAGTCTTGGAAAAATAAAAGGTAAAATAGATAGAATAAAGGTGTACTGTATGTGGTTTACACACAAATATTCATCAAACTGTGTGATATTTTGTTATTGCAATGAACAATTTGGGAGTATCGTATTGTTTAAGTCGATGGAAAATCTCTGTTGATCCTGTTTTACAAGCAAACCAAAAAGATACATTAGTCACCACTCTATGCGACATATTCTAACCAGAAAATTGTAATCGTATGATTCTAGGCCTATAAGCATTGATAGGATTGCAAAGTACTTCACAAACATTATTTCAAGGGTAATAACAGTCACAATTTCCGCCGACTTTAAAAGAGTCAACTAAACTACTATACTAATGGACACACAACTAAATGAAACAACTAATGGAACAACTCACGATGTACATATAACAGTTCGATATAAGCATTGAGTATACACGTCAGTGGATACGTGTATACCGTACCCAATGACATAAGCAACGGTTCTTGCAATTTATTGCTTATTGTTTTTTAGAGTTGTTTTCGGACTTACTCCGTTTTCGGACGTACTCACACTCGTATAAGGTTGTCCACGTTTGTCATTGATAATGTAGCCATGTTACATGGTTACACCCGTTGTCAAGAATATGGTTACAAGTTTTCCGTCTGTTTTTGAATAGCGATACATTTTTTCACATACTTAAGAACCACCTGATTTCGTGCATTACATGTTCGTCTCAATTTTAATTGCTTTAGTAGGCATTATTTTGGTTGATGAGGACTTCAATCGGTCCTTTCAATGATAGCTCATGAAATATAGTACTTTGTCCATTAATTTTATTGTTTGGTAAAATGGATTAAATTATCCTGCAAACCCAAATAAAAATAGTAAATATAGTATTT